TTTCTTGACTCTTTTATTAATTATTGTTTACTGACAATTCTACTTGAGTTTTTAGTTGTACTTCTCTGAAATTTCTTGTAGAGTTGATTTGTGTGTGTGTATGTGGTGGTGGGGGGTAATGTGGTGTGGTGGGGTATGTATATACCAATGGGGAGGTTCAGATTCCAGAATCAGAAATATGTGATTATAATTCCAAAGGTTATAAATTAATCTCCCAAGTCCAAAGCCAAAAATGCTGGTGGGGTGGGGGTATGAAGATTGTGATTAGTCATGACTGGTTGGCAAGTCAAAAAAAAAAAAATTACTAAATTTCAATACCTTACTAAAGGAGACCTAATTTTGATTTTTCTCTTTTGACACACGAAATTCTATTTTGAGGTAAAACTTGGTCACCTGGAAAGAAGATTTTTCATGTAGATACATGAATGATCGATTTTGTTTTTTAATATTACTATATCAGCAAGGATACCCGACATTGCTCAAGATTGTGTGGATGGATGGGGGAGGGGTTAAATAACCCCAGAAATTAGTATCACAGAAAAAATAAAAAGTAGATATTTTTTAAGAAAAAATATTATAATCTCCATAATAAAACAAATCTTATCCCTTCAATTTAATAGAACTTCTCAATCTACAAGTATCAATGCCAATATAAACAGATTTTGGGATGCAACCCTAGACACAACCAACATGGTATAGAAAAGCATGGATGAGTAAGGTGTAGGCCAGCAATCATGTCTTGGCTGAATCACTGTTGCTAAAATCGAATGACTTGTCTTGAAAATCCTGGTAATAAACACATTCTCCTTTTTGCCTACCCTGGTGAAGAGAGTTGCCTTCCTCACGTTGATGAACAGCTGCTTGACATCAATGGGAGTTTATTGTATAATATTAGAAGATCCAATTTTCTGAGAAGAAATTAGTTGAAGACAGCTCAAGATTTGATCTTGATTAGGCATTGACTAGTTTTAGAGCTGTTTAGAATTGAAAATTGACTTGTACAGCTGAACCTCTCAAGAATATATTGCAATGGCTTCTAATTCTTCTTTGGTGCAAAAATGCTTCAATCACGGGACCACTTGTAGTTTTAGAAAATATAAAGAAAATGATGTGTAGATAAGAAATATTTATATGAGCCTAAGAGATATAAATGTCGTCAAAATTATATAAGTATATTATATTAGAAGATATAAGAATAATATATATATATATATATATATATATATATATATATATATATTCTGTTTATACATTATTTTTATAGATACAAATATTTAAGTAAATGTTCTGTTTATAATAAACAGTATTAACTACAATTACCGGCCTGAATGTACAAGATATTTCATAGAAACTCTGACAGAATCGAAACTGTATCTTACACGGAACCGTCATTTAGCCTGACGTGCTATACTATTTAGCTACAGACGAAGCGTCTGGTTAGCAAAGTCAAATTACTGTTTTTAACATCAAATTTCTCATGATTTTCCATGAATGCTCATATCTACTCGAACCTTATCTTAATGTAAACAAATGACATCATATATTATGAAATTGACTAAGTTCGACTATTATTTAACTTATTTTCTGTTCATACGTTATTTTTCTAGATACACATATTTAAGGAAATGCTCTGTTTATAATAAACAGTATTAGCTCCATAGAAAATATGTGTCCGACCAACAGGAATCGACCGTATATCATACACGGAAGTTTCTGGTTAGAAAATTGAAATTACCGTTTTTAAACTTTGCTAAACAGACGCTTCCCCTATAGCTAAATAGTATAGCGCGTCAGGCTATATGACGGTTCCATATATGGCAGATATTCGGACGTGTTATATTCCTTAGTGTCACCAGAACTGTGTTACTTTTCATTTGAGCAAGAACACATAGCCCAGTGGATAAACGCGTTGGTTAAAGTAATCCAGTGACTTGACCCAAAAATTTTTGAGTTCAATTCCTGGTCACAGCAGAGGTGAGCAAAAAGTTGGAGAATTGAGTTAAAAGGGAAATAACTGGATCCGAGATATCCAGAAATTGCATGGCACGGGGAACGAGAACAATTTACTCCAGTTACGAAACAAAGGGCTCGGTTCGAAATTCCAACGTATATCTTCTAAAGAAGGCTGGAGAGTACAACAGCCGAAACGTCGTGAATATGGCAATATAGATGATGAGAACAATGTAGTGTAAGTAATTACGTACAATTAAGAACAATATATTTTATTGCCTAAGCAAACTATATAGAAAGAATAAAAAAGTATAAATGAAGTCTCGTATGTAGAGGCGTCCTTTTTCGTATCTACGTGGGAGCAAAGTTCCTTTGAAATTGTGAATAATTATTATTGTGTTTGGTAGAATTAGTAGATATGCCTGTGTGCAGTCAGGTAAGCTTAAGGCATTTTTTGTTGTATACTTTCTGTGTTATACGAGGTTCTATAGGGTTTGAAAAGTTACTCGATTGAAAAACGAGGTACGTCATATCTAGAAGGTAAAAGAGAATGAGACTTTGGGCTCTTCTTTTAATACTATATATATATATATATATATATATATATATATATATATATATATGTGTGTGTGTGTGCGTGTAACTGGGGTAAACCTTATTTTGAAATCTGTTTCCCCCTCTTATTTTTGAAACTCTTTTTTTTTCTATATCTTCCACAACACTCTTTTTTCCTCTCTTACTTTCTTTTCTCTACCGCCATATCTCTCTCTCTCTATTTCTTTCTCTCTCTCTCTCTCTCTCTCTCTCTCTCTCTATATATATATATATATATATATATATATATATATATATATATATATCTTTCCCTTCCCCTATATGAAAAAAACCTCATCTTGAAATCTCTGTATTCCCTTCTTTTTTCTGTATCTTTCACCCCACTTTTTTTCTTTTCTTCTTTTCCCCTTTTTACTTTTCTTTTTTCTTTTTTTTTTCTTTTCTGTTTCCTTTTTTTGCTTGTGTCTTGATAAATTTAATATCCATTTATTGTTGTAAAATCTTTGGTCTGAAGAGATCGGCGTCTGATCCCATGAAATAAATTATTACCAATTGATTTCTAAGGATTCCGATTTCGTCGTTATTATATTTGGTCTCTTCTTACATTGAGCCCTCTTTAGATTTATATCCTTTTTGGAATTATCCATACTATTTATCAAATAATATTATATATATATATATATATATATATATATATATATATATATATATATAGTGCTGTTTGATAAAAGTGACTCACCTGATTTTTTTTACTTAGACATTTTTTCGACTATTGTTTTTGGGGACAAACTAATTATAAATCTTACTAATATAAAGACCTCTTCCCGACCAACTAGTAAAAAAGTTTACTCACCCTAAGGTATTCTATTGATAATTATAATTTTGGATATAAATGAGATTTAGGGAAAAACTCTGTGCAAAAAAAGTGACTCATTTATTTCCTGCAACTAGTAATCAATAGAAACATAACCGAACAGCTTTAAATAAAGAATAATAGAGGTATAATTTATTTATAATAGGTAATATAGTTCGAAATATTTAATAATCTATGGGTCCTCCTTTTCAACCCTTTTTGGAACTGACTTGATTAGGTTCTGGCAAATCTCATCTCCAAGCATTGAATTCCATTTGGATATGAAATTCCTCTTTGTTGCTCAACTACTTTCTCAAGAGTCTGTACTTTATAATACCCCATAAGCTTTCTATGGGGTTGAGGTCAGGAGATTGAGGCGGCCATGTCATGACACTCACCTGCTTCTCATCAAAGTATTCCTTCATCGATTTTGATTTGTGACAAGGAGCATTATCCTGCATAAAAATGAGCTTGGTGGGGTCGATTTGCACCCTTTAAGCAGAAGGGAGCAGACAAGACTCTAAAATTCTCTTGTACTGCTCGCTCCTGAGGGTCTTTTCAATAGGTTTTAAGAAACGAGTTCCGTGAAAAGAAAAGCATCCCCAGAACATTATATTGAACGGATGCTTGACAGTACATGACTGCTAAATTCAATGAACTTTCAAAGCTTCTTCTTCGGATTTTAGATCGCTTATCCTTTTAATTTAGCTCAACTTTCGTTTTATCGGAGAAGAGAACATTTAGAAAAAAAATCAGGTGAGTCACTTTTATTGAACAGCACTATATATATATATATATATATATATATATATATATATATATATATATATATATACTACTACTACTACTAGTAAAACTCGGTTGGAAAAAAATCTCGGATAGAACAACTTGTAAGTCTATCAAAACAAATTGGTACCCGAGGAAAAAAATTGGGAAAAAAAAAAGAAAAAACTAGAAACATCCGATCAGGGTGAAATAAAGGGTCCAGTGCCTAAAATTTTTAGTCCAAAGAAAAAAAATAACAAGCGAGCAATAAAACTAAAACGTAGAGTGCTCAATACTCTAAACAGAGCAGGGATAATGTTTACCCTGACGATTCGTTTAGGTGAAACCTAGGTAGGTTGTTTCTGGCCCTTTAGGATATATATATATATATATATATATATATATATATATATGTGTGAGTGTGTGTGTGAGCACTGCTATTATCAATATATATATATATGTATATTGATAATATTAGGACTCAATATATATATATATATATATATATATATATATATATATTCCTTGTGTTTTTCTCTGATATATGTTTGCAAGTGTGTGAATAACTATTGCACGCATAGACTCCCGGCAATAAAGCGCCCATTTAATCTGCGTATCTAGAAAATATGGAAACGTATGTCGAAGTAAAAAACACTTTATTCGAAGTAATACCAAAACATCTCAGAATCTTTTATATACTAAAAACATTTTTTATTAACTAATAATAATTTTCTTCTTGAGTACGCGTTTCACAATTTTCAGAGGCAAAATTAAGGCAGACACAGCACACTGAATTGGAAACTAGTATTTTTGAACGTCCATTTTGAGAAAAAGCTTATCGGAAGAAATTTAAAAAAAAAAGGAATGAAGCGCCATCTTAACGGCGTTCAATCTTGAGCCAGATTGGTTTCTCTGGTTTCATTACCATTGATTGAGACAACTCAATTTTCTCCTGCAAAGATAAAAGAAAGAAAGTAAAATTATAAAAAATATATAAATATAGGTACCTCCAAAGAAACATTATAAAGTTTCAAATGAATTTTTAAAAATTAAAAAATCTTTCTTGAAGCTTTTATGTTGACAGCTTGACAGCTTTGCTGACAGCTAGAAGTTTATTGAACTTTTTCTACGGGGGATATGCTTGTAAAAATTACTTGAGGAATATAACGTGAGCGCCGTTTTATATAATTTTTTTTAACTACCCAGTAATTTTGAAATTTAGGAAAATATTCTCCATAATCTAATGTTTTACTGAATTTGTCTATAAATTTACTCTAGTTATTATCTAGTATTTTAGTAAGCTTTTCCATTTATGACTAGTAAATATAGGTTTTACTTAATGACAATATCACCTAATCAGTAGAAATTAATACAAAAATTTAAAAGATATAAAACTTTATAAATTATTCAAGTTAAATGAAAACAATTCTGACAAAAATTCATTATTCATAGGAAAAAATTCTTAAAACAATAGTGTCCATAATATATCTTATTCATAAAATCAATTAAAAGCTTTTTTAATTGAATAATGCCTTTTATTGTATTTTTATTTTACGAGTCAGAGATGATTTTGACCCCCCTCCCCCCCAAAAAATGATGATTTAAATTCTCCAAGCAATTCAGCCTGTAAGTAATATAAATATTAAGCGATGCGAAAATTAATTTCTCGAACTCTCCTAAAATTAAGTGGGGGTATGGGCTTGTAACCTAGAGAAGGTTACTGGATAGAAAAATGAAACGATGATTGGTAATCTTACTTATTATAAAACGCAGATTGTGTGTGTGTGTGTGTGTGTCTGTACGTTTATATATTGGATCGGATTTCCTACATTTTTCAACCGATTTCAACAAAACTCCACAGGACTACGTAAAATTACCTTGCGGTGGTTCTGACAGCGCCAAAAATTGGAAAAACACAATTGTTTTTGCACGAAATCAATTTGAAAACACGATTAAGAGGCATCACGAGAATGAAAGAGGGACAACTCATATCGAGTTATACTTATTATAAAACCCTTGTGTGTTCGTTTAGATATGGGATGGGATTTCCTACATTTTTCAACCGATTTCAACAAAACTTCTCTTTTTTTTTGGCAGGTAGTGTTTCTTATTTTCTTGCATACTTTTTTCTTTATTTTTACATACAGAATGCTTTAAAAATTCCATTTACAAGACAATTGTTTATAATAAAATTTTATTCAGTCGGTAGATCCATAACGATTGAAAACAATGTTTTTGTTTGAGTTTGGGTTTGACCAATTCGTAAAAAAAAAAAAAAAAAAAAAACTAATTAAGACATGCGTGTCCGGCAACCTTAAAGAATAATCTTTGTCAATTTTATTTTTCAGTCTTTATGATGGTCGATACTTGATCTATCTCTTACTGTTACATCCCCGGGCAACGCCGGGCTCTACTGCTAGTGAACGATAATACTTAGCAAAAGAACAACACATATAAGATTCGCCAGTGGCGCGAAGAAGAAGTAGGCAATTGTTAGAAGGGAGTCAAGTGAATTCCACAATGAATCTCCAATACTAGGATATCTACCACGCGGTCAGATATGGCACAATGTTGGGTATCCGAGCCCGTAGGCTCGGTCAAAAATTCCGCGTAGACCCAGTATAAAACGGGGTCAGGTAGCTGTTTCCGCGGAACCGACACCCAAGATGTTGCTTCCCCGATCACTACAACCTTAACCTTATCAAGTCCAAGGTTAATACTCACATATCCGCAAAAGCTCCGCCTCTTACTCTGTAGCTCTCTACACCGTCGGGCCTTGTAAATTAATGTAAAAATGGTCACTCGACGAAAGTTATTGGTAGCATGTAACCTAGTACTGTGTGTCACGTGATCGAGATATAAACGATTAAACCAGTTCCGCTAATAAACCTTTTTTGGTGAGGGTGAGACTAGACACCTAGTGTGATTAAGAACAAGACCTGTTAAAGGGCAGATGTAAACCTTTTTGTAGAGCCAACGGCCATCTGGCACGATAGAATAGACTGGGCTCTGTAGTTAAGCACAGCGCCAGCGTAGTGAGGAAAAATCACTGGTTAGTGTGTACCTTTTAAATTGAAGTCAACAGCCAGAAGGAAGCGTTAATCTCTACATTCCGCCCTGATGGAATCAACGGCGAGCCTTCCTTGGAGAATATCGGCTGCAGTTTCATCTGCTGAGGGATAGACCATGTCAGGTGTTTCAATACACATATGTGGCTAGAACTAGTTACCTGCTCAGCGTCACAACGATCACACCCGGTCATGTCACTGATGATGATGATGATGACGATGATGATGATGATGATGATAATGTTGAAGATGATATTTATTACTATCATTGTTTAAGAAACCCATTCTTGAAAGGTAATTGAAATTGGACAATGCCAAGTTATATTTACACGAGGTTTCACAGCCCAACCCACTTCTTATAATCTGATCAATGACAAAGCATAACGTTTTGGTTTCGAATGGCTTGTTAGGCAATCAAATGAAAAATAAAAAGAATTAAAATAATGAAAAAAAACTTTTGAAAATTGACAATTCACTTTTGCACAACCTGAGACCAAATTTTATTTCACATGAAAATAATGAGTGAAGATTAAGAATACTTACTTCAGACTTGTTACAAACAAAAACGCGATATTTCCTCAACAATTGTACAGCGGCCATCTTGAATTCAAGTTCAGCCAATCGCTTTCCAGGACAGATTCGTGGACCATCTCCAAAAGGAAGATACGTGAATGGTATTTGTTTGGCCTTGTTTTCTTCACTGAAGCTGTAAATACAAAAACGGTGAACAATAACAGATAATATTTTTATTTCATATAAACATTTATTGAAAGTGGATTTATTCATCGAAGCCATTGTCTTAGTTTTTTTTTCAAAAAGCGATTGACTCTTTTACCAAGGAGTGTGTTACGAAACATCATTGGACATTTTAAAAAAAAGAAGCAGTTGTTTTTCTATGCGAGGAACGGAAAGAAAACGGTTTTATTTGTCTCGGAAACAATATTTGACAGACTTATGCAAGTCCAGTTAATAAAGACAGAAATCATGGAAGTTAAAGAAACAAACAACAATAAATGTATTAAAAAACTTTTTGCAGAAGAGTAAAAAAAAAAGTTAACTTCATCGGTGAACTTAGTTCCGTAGTGTGAATGCCCGGGGCCTGAGTTCGGAGTCTTGCAGGGCGAGGCTCACTCGTGATCTTCAACGTCTCTATTTGAATGTATGTTGTTTACAGGTAACCCGGTTTTCAACTCCTGACCATGAAAGGATTCTGTCTAGAGGTTTACCATCTATTCAGCATGTTTTGATGGACACTGGAGAGGTTTCCTGGCTGGTGAACAAATCTTTGGATTGCGGCGTGTCCTCTTGTCTTCGCAGGTCCGGCGTGATGAATGGTACCACAGAGGATAAGTCTTTTCGTTTAATTGGGGTTTATGCGCCCAATGACCATGTTGAGCGGACTGATTTGTTTCGGCGGACCGAGCTGTTTTTGACGACATCACGTCGGTTAGTTTTAGTGGGCGATTGGAATGCCGTCCTCGACTCAGACATAGATCGTAGAAGGGAAAGATCGGCTACTAATAACCGGGATGTGAAACCATTTCCGTACTTTATCTACAAGTTTGATCTTTTCGATAAGCATCGTAATGAACACCCCAGGGAGGTACTGTGAACTTAGACGAATAGGGGCGGCTCGGCTCGGCTCGGCTCGGCTCGGCTCGGCTATTGGCGGCGCGTTCTAGCTACCTCGACCGAGTCCTAGTTAAGAGAGTCGATGTAGGCTCTTAGGTTCTCCAAGTTTCATTCCATAGTTTACTTGGGTCACAGGCTCGTCCGGGTTCGTGTAAACTTGTATAAACCTAAGGTTAGGATAGCTGGAAATTAAACTCATCATTATTTGGTGAGCGAGATTTCCAGGTCAGATTGCTTCTAATGCTACAGCGTGAATTGACGGGGTCTGTGGTTGGGAATATGTGGGATAACTTAAAATCTAAAATTTGCTGCTGACTATTGTCGTCGACTCAATCTCGTTAGATTAGCAGCGCAAATGGTATGTGGGGAAAATGTTGAAACTGGAGATTAAATCCTGTGAAAGTGGGGAAGTACCTTTAGCTAGGGCAGCGTTGGCCTCCTTACTTATCAAGAAAAGCCAAGCTCTGGTACTTAGGCCGAGTTAAAAAGAATGTCTTCTGAGGTGACGAATATGGCCGCTGAATTGCGTGCAGAGGAAGTTCGAAATGCGCCCCATCGACATGTCGCGTGTGTCACATTGCCGATAAACGGACCGTGACTACAAACACGGGTCTATGTGAGGCTTTTCGTGATTTCTTTCAGGATCTGTCCACCAGAGAGCCCGGGCTTAGTACTGACTCAATTCGACGCCTATTTGGCTAGGTGGCTGAAGCGGCTGGGTGCGAAGGTCCCATCACAGGATCCGAAATCTGAGAAACGCTGAAGCTGGTTGGCCGGGAAATATCTTGGAGATTGACATTTCTAGGGAACATCATGAGGAACGAGAGCTTAGAAAATCTGATACTCACAGGGCCGATTGAAGGCAAGAGATACAGAGGAAATCAACGCATAACATATCAAGCTTGTGCAAATGGATGGCAGAACAAGAGATATATTAAAAAGTCAAACTTTAGTAAGAGCTACAAAGGAGAGGGAAATTTTGGAGAGCCATGATCACCTAAATCCTGAAGAAACATGGTACCAAGAAGAAGAAGAAGAAGAAGAAGAAGAAGAAAAAGGAGGAGGAGGTTCATACTTACCGTTCAGGATTAAATTTTTCCGGTTCCGACCAGTACCTCTCATCATAATGCAAACTCCTTGTGGAAATAAGGATTCCTGAACCACTTGGAATTTTCAGCCCTTTTATGATACAGTCTTCTTTAGTTTCTCTTGTCAACCTGCCAATGAAGGAAGATGGCAAAATAGTTAAATAGCTTCATAGTTGGATTTCCACCTGATTTCAAGTACTGTACACAATTTGCGAGGATATATCTATATGGACTCTCCCGTCGATTTCGTCGTACGAGGATCTGCCAGCTTATTGATTCAGTTATGAAAGTTTATTCGCTAATCTTAAGTGGCATTTAAGACTCGCTAGTGATTTACAAAGGAGGCCACATATGGAGCAAGTGTGAGGATTGTGAGATGAGATCACTGTCAGATTGGTTGACCTTTTAGATCTTGCTCTCGCTTCTTGAAGATGATTCAGACAAGCAGATTGAAAATTGCCGAGTCCACTAAAACCCTTGATCTCCATTATACCGGCTCCAAAGCTAAGCGCTCAAGGGTGTTATGTGGTATATCAACTGCTGACAAGTTGCTTTTCAGCTTGTCTTTGTATCTTAGTCATGGGCGTCCTACATTCCTGTAGCCCTGATCTAACTGGCTGTACATTAGGATCTTGGGTATCCTGTCATCAGGCATTCTCAAGAGATGACCAGTACATCGTAACTGAGATTGTATGATAAAAGTCTCGATTTCTCCAATATTACACCTGTTAAACAGGTCTACGTTAGATGTCCTATCTTGAAGATTGCACGCAGACATCTAGCTGGCGTATATGGTACCTGTATGAAGTCCATGAATCTGAGACATACAAAAGGATGGCAAGTACAACAGCTCTGTAAACCTGAATTTTCGTATCCAGTCGAATACCCCGCTCATTCTACAAGCGATGGCGAAGTGTGCCGAAAGCACTGGTAGCCTTAGCAATCCGATGCATGATTTCATCATCCAAAGTTCCATTGTAATTGACTTTGCTACCAAGATAGGTGAAAGTATTATGGTAAGGTACCCGTACACAAATGGAATCTTCCAAGCACAAATAAAAACAGGTACTGCTTCTATCAGGAGTATTTTTCACACCAGTAAGCTCTGTATATTATTGTATTAACAATTTTCTATCAAATCCAATCTTTTGTCTTTATTCTGGCCCCAACAAGGCCACAACAACTGGGCGACAAGTATCCTTGAGGATACTACAATATATATATATATATATATATATATATATATATATATATATATATATATTGCACACACATACATACATTGTCTAGCATCAAAATATCAATACAATAGGCCAAAAGTTTGGGGGACACCCTTTGGATTTCGAAGACTCGCCTAAAAATTGAAGGTTGTGTGACTTTTTCACATCTAACTTACAAGTTCAATTCCGAAAGGGTTTTTATCGAATATTCAATAATAATAATAGTAATAATAATAATAATAATAATAAATTTAACCCATTACTGTATGAAGTTTTAAGGAAACTTTAGCTGTTGCGTAATATACCCTGATAGTTAATGGTAATTTAGTGCTGTAATGTAAGATGTAACTTTAAATTCAAAGCTAACTGTTTCTTTGTCTATATTTCTGTCATGGGGTATTGTAATTATTTATGCTTTATCTACTAGGGCATGTGTACCCGGACAAATGACGTATTGAATAAAAGCGTTAGTTAAAGTAATCCAATGACTTGACTCAAAGAGCTGCGAGTTCAATACCCGGCCACAGAAGAGGTGAGCAAAAAACTTGGAGTTATTAAAGGAAAATAACTGAAATTGAGATATCCAGAAAAAGGCATGACATGTGGAAGTAGAACAATCTGTCCCAGTGGACGAAATAAAGGATTCAGTTCGAAATTCCAACGTATATCATCTGAAGAAGGCCGGAACGTACAACTACTGAAAGGTCGTGAATATGACAATAAAAAGTAAGGACAACAGTTCGGACAATGTAAATAACAGTTTCTTTTATCGCACTTCTCGCTTGTGGGACACTTTTCTAGCATTGCAGCCAACTTTAATCTTCAAAAACATAAAAGCAATGTCAGTTGTTATAATTTGTATTTTTAATTTCTATTCTTTTATTCTTATCTCTCCTAAATAATGTTTTTTTTTCTCTCATATTCTTTCACGCATGCTTTGCGTCTTAGTGGCTTTTTTGCCTTGTCTGGGTTGAAATGATAAAAAAAAGAAAAAAAAAACAGAAGCCCAATGGATGGTATACGAAAAGTTCAATGTTCTAAGAGGTAACTGAAAGCAATAACAGTTACACAAATTAAAATGATGTTACAATGATGTTCACCCTGTACAAAGCCCAAGAACCACTCGAGGTAGAGAGGTTACAGAGTAAAAGGCAACAGTTTATGAGGATATGTGGGGAAGATAACGATTGACCCTAAATTTGACCAGGTCAAGATTGCAGTTATTGTTGGGGGTCTCTTTCACAAAGTAGCGGTTCGTGTGAAGAAGCTGTTCGATTGTAATCATCTCACCATGGAATACGAGGGGATTGAGGGTGGTTCACTAAAATGGGCGTGGCAGGGTGGGTCTTAGCCATGAAGGTTAGAACTAGTAGAACCCAGGAATGTAGTTCGTCTGAAGACTTTCTATGAAAATAGACACAGAATAGTGACAGGCTTGCGACGTTTCGTCTGTGAGGAAAGGGGTTGTAGGATGGAAAATAATTTATCACCCACAAGAACGCGGATATTTTTGGACTTTATTGAGACTGCTAAGTGAAGACTACCAGAATTCCACAGACGCAGAATACGAGAGAAGAAACTATTAGAGGAGAAATTACGGTTACATTTAGCAATTTCAACATTAGAATGACGAGACCTAGCTGCCAATCTAGTACTGCGCTTAAATTCATGAAGTCGATGCATCAAAGAGAAAAAATATTTATAACAGTCATCGCGAAAATATTTATCGAAAAGGCACGGGGGGGGGGCTAAATAACGAAAGTTCATCTCACTACATGCCTTACTTTTGATGTCAACATGGTTTGAGCATATACACCGTCGGGAAAGGTTAATTACTTTTGTAACAAGATATTTAAAAATAATACAGCAACATTATCGAAAAATACTGACTTACAGTGTACCAACTGGATACATTCGCAACGTCTCCTCCATACACATCCGAAGATATGTCAGCTTCTGCACATTATCATAATTTGGAGATTCCTAGAAAACAACAAGAATATCAGTCTAAATGTAAATTCTATTGGCTTCAAAAGCGGGCGGGGGGGTCATCATTCAAGAGTCATTTTGGCAAAGCAGGAGAGGTTAAACCTTTTCACCAATAATCTATAATTATTTTTACCGTCTTACAAATAGCAGCGGGCAACATGGTACTTGATAAAATGAATTTTGCTTAAGACTAATTCCCGTTCACCAAAGGCGTGGATATATCTCTACTTCCCTTAGTTAAATAGCAGGGCAGAATGAGTTTTCTAGCATTGAGAGGCAGCCAGTTTAGCAGAAAGAAGTACAAAATAATGCCATGAAGTGTAAAAAAAGCATTTATTGTATCAAAGATTTTTTGATCATTCACGACTACAAGCTTGACCTCCACTTTGCCATTAGATCTTACATGGGATATCACAGGGTATGTCTGCTGCCTGTGCACATCCATAACTCATCAAAAATAATCGACTCTCACTCATTTGGTATTCATTCCTTGATAATTATAATATATTCAACAACTTTAATAAAACATGTTGGAACTATGTAAAAAATTGTTTTGAAGTCTAAATTAATCATTTAAAATTTGACAAAATTTTTCAAAGCAAATTCATGTTATTGATGTTTAAGTGATTTGCATAATAACTTCAGACAGATTTTAAATGGTTATTCATTTTTTCGGAAATTTCAAATAAAATAGGCTTAAGTTCCTTCTATTAAGTTATTTTAAAAAAAGGTATTTTTTGGCCAATTGCATGCTAATTTTGCTATTTTTTATAGACTTCATCTTTAAGAAACACATTTTTTAAACTTTGATTTGGAAACATCCACTTCAGTCTATAATTACTAAGGTTTTAGAACAGTTTTAGATATTAGCGAAATTCATTGATAATCCACGGAATCTGTTAAAATCAGGAAATTCTATGAAAAAAAGTCTGATTCTTTCAATCAGAAAATGATTTCTAGAAATAAAGATAAATAACAAAACACGCACAAAATGTAAAGATTCCAAATTTGAATAATTAAAAGATTTGACGTATCCAAATGTTTCCTGTGTTGCTTGTTAGAATTTCTACTGATTATCCAGATTGATTGTTCTAGAACTAATAAAGAAGTATAGGGTGGAAGCTGTAGTCTTAAAATCTGGCAAGAAACCGGATTTGGATAATTCATTTAATTAATCCTTATTCTTTAATTATGAAGAATGGTGACAAAAACAAAAGCGAATTATTAAGAGATTCAGAGTCTTGGAGAATTAAAAACGTTTACCTCTCCCAGATTTTCTTGTATTTCTTTATAAAGTCTCTCCTGAATTTCAGGATTGTATGCTATAGAGTGAAAAAAACTGGAAAGTGTTGCTGATATGGAATCGAAGCCGGCGACAAATAAAATGACAAACTGTGAAATGATTTCTAAATCTGTAAGACCTGCAAATGAAAATTCAAAAACGTGGCATCAAGAAAAATATAAAAATTAATTTCCATTTTTAGTCTTAAAATACACGTGTTATAAGCATTATGAATAACAATATCATGTAAAAAGAATAGACAGGCACATCAATATTGATATGAGTCATATATATAGGAGTGATAATTAAAATCATTGTTATGTTCAGGGATCCTTTGTTCACGCTATAAATTGATATCTGACCTTTCAGAAGACCTAAGTCTTAAATTTAACCTGCTGCTGCTGCCGTTTCTAAATCTCATTCCTCGAAGGCGTCGAGCACATGAACCACCTTGTTCCTCCAGTTATGAAAAATCAATACTATATATATATATATTTTTTTTTTCAACCAATAAAATCCCATCAGAAGGTTTGAATGGCAATAATAACCCCTTCACCACTCCCGCAAAGTAAAGAAAAAGATTTTCGCGAGCCAGTGTTAAATTATTTTCTAACCAATTCACAAAATTTCATACTATGTGAATTTAGATTTTGGGTCCCCCTTAGGTATATAAAAACAGAGGTATAATGCTTCTCCGTGTTCAAAACAATATCCGTACACACGCATCACGCACACTCACACAGTGCAAGAGATGAGCTTGCAAATGCCAACTAATACTTGGTCTACACACTGACAGACACATTATGCTGATCGTCATAAAGTAAGTCTGTCCATACATCTCGCACCGATCTATGAAGAATTAATTACTTTATAAAACAAACTGCAAGAAAAATTGAATATTTTATTGTTATTTTGTATTTCGAAAAATAAAATAAATGTGATTTCAACTGACGTTCTGCTTCTCTCTTTTCCTTCAGAGATCATACATTTTATGTTTCATTTAAAAGATATGCTGTTTCTAAATGTTTGGAATCCTGACACTCAGATAAAACAAAAACCTGGAGAGACGGATCCCAATACAACAGTTATAGTCTTAGTAGTGTAACGGAACATCCTCCAGCACCAAATTGATCTACTTGAGCTATTTCCAGCATCAGCAATGTCTGCCTCGAGGGCATCACAAGTTTGTAGTTTGTTGTCCATAAGCAGTTGTCCAAGGTTTCAACCCAGAGGTTAAATTCGTTGAAAAGCTATCCGTTTATATTCTCTGATATGTATCATAAAATCTGAAAGATCCATTTGCCATATTGTCATCAAAATTGTCCCAGATAGAATATTGTTATTATTGATAATATAGCGCATTAGAAACTTTCTGGGCTCATAACCTATTAAGTGATTTGCCATGCTCAAATGCAAAAGAAACAACAGTGCAATAAAATTCTCTAGTAGCTATTATAACAATGGAATGATTCACTTGTCATAATTGCATCAAACTTGTCTCAGATCATATTTGGTTATTATTGATAATATAGCGCATTAGAAGCGTTCAGGGCTCATAACCTGTTAAATGATTTGCCATGCTCAAAACAAAATAAAAAACTTTTGTCCAATAAAATTCTATGGTAGGTATTGTAACAATGGAATGATTCACTTGCCATATTTGCATCAAACTTCTCTCTAATCAGATATTGTTATTATTGAAAATATCGCGCAGTAGAAGTGTGCTGGGCTTATAACCTCTTAAGCGATTAACCATGGCCAAATACAAAAGAAACAAAAGAACCTTCTAATAAAATTCTCTGGTAGGTGACATAACAATGGAAAGATTCACTTGCCATATTTGCATCAAACTTGTCTCACATAATAAGATAAGAAGGGTGCTGTGCGTGCTTTTCGATAAAAAGAAAAAGGTCAGAAATAAAATTACATCAAGCACCAAGCAAACAATATATGAAAATTAACATTTAAGAAGCCTAAAATATCACAAAGAATTGGCATTGACACACAAAAGCAAGGTCGGACAAGCAAACGCAACGGTCTATCGTTTAGTCACAGCAGGTCTGGACTTATGTCAAACTGCACACTATCCTATTTTCTTGGCTAAGAAAATATCCCAGCATGCATCTGTGAGCTTTTGCATATAAAATCGGAGGGAGAAATGTTTTGCAGCAATTCCAACTACATATAAAAAGATGATTACAAAAAGATTTTTTTTTCTATGAACCGGTTGTATTTTATAAACTTCGTAACAGAAATCTCTATGAAGCACACATGACTGCATGAAGCATCGTCGCCACCCATAGATTCAAACATCTTTCCATTTACCTGTTTGAGTTCAAGAACTGTTACAGAAATGTTTCCGTTGATTCCTGCACTACCTGCACAAAACGCAAACGAAACTATAGCAAGCCCCGTAACTGGCCCATCGGTCATCTTAAGCGAAGCAGAAGACCATTCGGGGGTTGTCTACAAAGACCCGATACAGGTTGGAGACAACTTTCGTCAATCTCAATCACTTCTAACCCACTCATCACATTTACCTTGGGTGGGTAACTTGTTATTACTTTTCACTGGAACTCCAGAGAAACACAATAGTAACAACGAAAATTGCAATATGAGATCTGGTAAAAAAACGATAGCTGAAGATATTTTATTGAAGTTTATAAGTCCCAGAAATTCAGTGGTGAATTAACAGGAGATAACTGATAACAGACATCCATTAGACATGACACGTGGAACTAGAACAATCTACCCCAGCGAGCGAAATAAAGGGTTCAGTTCGAAATTCAAACCACCTGAAGAAAGCCGGAGCGTACAACGACCTAAACATTGTGATAAATATGGCAACAAAGATGAGGATAATAGTTCGAATAATGTAAATAATGTAAATAATACCTCATCTCAGAAATATAGAGAAGAATTTTATCTAATCAATTCTTGTCGTCCTTTGGTCTCGCCTCTGCTGGCCATTTCATTTGTCAATCGTGGCACCTTGTCCATAAATAGCACATATCTTTTTTGCTGTTTTTTCTTTCAAAAAGTAAAAGCGTATTAAATGATGAAAATGCGCATCATTTTCCTCTTTTTCACTTTTAAACTAAAAATATTTAAAATTCTCTATTCCCAGAAGAATCATACAGAAATACGCATTGAAATACCACGTTAAGGAACATATATATGACATAAAATTAGGTTGCATGTAAAACGAAATCATACTTTTGTTCTAACCGAATATGAAGTCAGTCATTACTTTATTTATACTCATATTGTACTATATTTGGTTAATGGCTTATTCTCTATATGTGTAAAGCATAAATAAAAGAACATATATGGTCATTATATTACAACTGACATTTAGATTGATAGAAAGAATAATATGTATTTGGATTCAGTCATTTGAAACAGATTCAGTTGGAACCCAAATAAATTTATATAGGTTAATACAAATACGTTTCACTGCATCTTTTTCACATCTTTTAGATAAATATTACTCCATTTGTAATAAAGATGAGGTATAAAAATACTACACTAATCAATATTTGACAATATCAAATAATTTTAGGCCCGGATAATGTGAGGTCACCTTGCCAGTGAATTATGTTTTAATGATAACCTTACCTCTTTTTGTTCTCCAGTCTGTTATATTTTCCAGTTTGAGTTCATGTTCAGTTTTCTTGTCCAACTTTTCATGGCCTTCAAGTTGAGAATCCAACAGCAGTTGAAGCAGATCTTTATGCGTCTGCAATTTTAAATGGCAGAAACTAAAATCACGAAAGACATATCTTTCCTGAATGTCTCTTGCCATCATGTCCCCTATTTAGACATGCTTCAATGGTAATATTTGTTTTGTATTAAAAGATAAAGTCACTTAACTTTTGGGATAGGAATAACAAGGGATTAAGTAAAGAAACTAGAATAAATCTTTAGATCATAGTTATCAAGGAAGTAAGAAGTCGGAGGGGAATTCCACAGAAAGATATATCTATAGACATTACTTGATCGGAGTTGGCAAGAGGACAGAGCTGCAGAGCACAACATGAGTCTGGGGGTGGAGGTCAAGTAGAAAGTCTTGTTCATCAGAATTACTGGGGAAACGCGTGGGGAAGTCTACTATTTGAGATAGATAGATAGATAGATAGATAGATAGATAGATAGAGAGAGAGAGAGAGAGAGAGAGAGAGAGATTGAGTAATAGAGTTCAAGGGCTAGATGCCAGTGAGGTCAGTGGCATTAAAGTGATTAAGCTACATGATGGGCACTGAAATCGCTGAACACAAAGATATTTGCAGACGGGTGTAGACAGAGAAGGCCTTATCTATACTGTCATAAATTCTATCTAGCACGCAACAGTCATGAGAGGAAGGGGAACGATGAAAGAAGGAGATAACTGATAGGAGATAGAGTTTAATAGTGGAAATTGGAGGCACATGTAAGAAGAGTCCGGAGATTCAAGAGAGTCTTCATTTGTCAGTGGAAGATGTTCCTGAACATAAACATCAAGGCCATACATGTAGACACTAGGGTCTTTCCGAAAGAGAGGAAGATAGCCAGGAATAGAGAATTCAGTGGCAGAGATTGATGAATTCAGATTAATTTCACAGATAGTAGGGATGTCTGGAGAGTGTTCCAAGAGGAACAATTCTACACTGCAGAAACTGGTATGAATACCACGAATATTAGAGAAAGAATGGTTAAGGGGTTTAGATGTTATTTTAGTAAGCTGGTTTATTTGTATTGGTTTTATTGTTTTTGGTCATGGTATATTTTTAAAGGTGGAAAAGTCCAAGAATAATAGTAGCTGCTAGTCGTATAAGAATATATATATACTGGCTGAGAATTGGCGCAGATTTTAGCATACTGTGGCCTCATGGTTGTCTCCCGGGAGTGCATGCATGAACACCTTTTCCTGCGCCATATGGCACTGCATAAACTCCGATATTTTGTGACTGTTGATCAGTGCACCCTCTCTAGATGCTACCCAAGTGTTCAGACTCCTAACTACATGTCAGGATGCAACAATCAGCAAGTTACTCTCAGTATGAGGAGTCTTGGCTATCATGCAATCATATCACTAAAACCTCATGACAGGAACGCTTTTTAAGGCCTCAGAAGAAACCAGAAACCCCATCCTAAATAGGAAACAAATGATAAGCCTATACTCCTTTAAAAAAAGGGGGGGAATTATGGCCTTGGTGATAGGTAGAACTATCTACTCTTATTAAAGAAATATTCCAGATGAACTTGCTAGTCAATTTCTTAAAATATTTTCGTCTCACTTTTCAAAATATTTCAACTGAAAAAAATTTTGTATTAGAACATAATGGTACTTACGCTGGTGTTTTTCACTTTTCTTCTTTCTTTGAGCAATTCCTTACAATATTCAACAAAATAGGTAATATTACCAAATAATACACCCTTTTTGAACCACTTGGCAATAATTGCAACAGTAGGGAAAATGGCTGGAAATCAAATAAATATATGAAATATTAAAATTGGTTTTTTATAAAATGGAATCAAATAAAATGAATAAAAGCATTAAAAAATCTAAAACCCCCAAGCAAGGCAATAAAGTCACTAACGCGCGACAGGTTACTGAATGTGAAACACATGAGAAAAAGAAAAATATTAAGGGGAGAGAACAATAAAATAGCATGAATTAAGAAGATAAAGATGACGATTGGCATTGCATTAATATTTTTGATGGTCAAAGTTGATTGTAAAGCATAGAGCAGGAAGAGAGTTCCACATATGAGAAGTGCGAGAGAAGAAACTGTTAGCATGGAACTTACGGTTACATATTGTAATTTCAACTGTAAAATAATTTACTGCTTTATAAAATGGTTCGGAATTTTTAAGCTGAAACTCTGACAACGGGTTTTTAAAATTAAGATTATATTCTGATAACAAATAACTCCCCCATTGGCTCTATCAAATAAAAAAAATAATTAATATTATTTTCTTTCTACCTGTTCATTATAGAATAACATTCGCCTTGTAAACATTAATTCATTACATGCATTACAATGAGAACATAACTTTTTATGTTACTTCTATGACAGAAGCTGCAAGATTTATAAAAAGTCACCTGCTAAGATTTTCAAGCATTTTGGAAAACAGGGCAGCTAGGATTTTCATTGCCATTTTACTTTTATTGTCTATGTCATAAATTACCTCTCGATAATCATATCATGTGATTCAGTACAATCAGTCACACGTAATGTGGAAAACAGTGGGACATTATCAAGTAAATACATTTATATCAAGAAAGGCCACGGAATCCCAGTCATTTTCTAGTTAATTGTGTGATGGTAACAACTTAAAGGCGTAACTGTTTGTGTTACAAAGAACAGATGATTATACAAATACATACTAGCTACAACCTGTAAAGATGCAAAAACGTTTGAAACAAACGCTTCCTTAGCATTTTTGACAAGAGGGCTTTCAGGATTTTCTTGGGAATCGACTTTAATTCCAAAACCAGTCGTGGCAATAACATCCATTGTAAAACCGGAAAACAAACTGGAAAAAAGAAAACAAGATACTTTGAAAAACAAACTGAGAAGAAACAATCATTGGGTTGGTGCATAATTATCAGGCGTTTTTGTAGGCGATTTATTTTTTAATAAAAATTGATTTGTTTACTTTTTAATAAAAATGTTACTTTATGTTCATGTTATAAAAATGCATTTCGATAATAATACGCCCTTAAATACGCATTTAAATATGTTATTGTTGAATTATTATGTTTCTTTTTTCACAATAAATATTGTTTAAAAACGCCTGATAATTATGCACCAACCCAATATATTTCGATGGTTGTTTATGTGAAGCAAGATTTTACGATTTAGTCCATGCATTCTTATTCATTTGGAGTAAAGATTGATATTATTACAAAAGGAGAGACAAGAGGCAAATGCTTAAATATAGATTACTAGGGAAGCCATATTTCTTATTTGTTCTATAACCTTAGTCCTTAAAAAATATTAGAAACAAAAATTTATACATAGAGAAGCAATATTTCACACATGCATACAAATGTTTTATGCTTTAGTCTGTATTTTTTTGTTCATTTCTAGTAAAAATTTGCATTCTTACGAAAGGAGAGACAAAGGGAAAATTCTTCATAAATATTAGAATCAAATATGACTCCATGGAGATGCAATATTTGCACATACAATCCAAGACTTTGTCACTTTCACTTGGTGTAATAATTAGGAAGCTTGTCTTGTTACATCAAATTACTACTGTGTTGAGAGATCAATTCTCACTGTGTGCTCGGCAGTTGTGACCTTGTTCGACATCTAAGCTATGGCTAGGAAATCACTATGTGTAAAATAAAAAATACGGTCATTAATGATGAAACAGGAATTATTTTCTAATGACTGCTTTTTTGTACTAATTCACCAGAACTTTGATAATTATTGAGTATTTGTGAACCTGGAAAATTTTACTTTTTTTGCTTTTCAACGCGGTACCGTAAATTAGTGTGGGAAATTTTAGTGTCATTTTGCGGTGTAAAACGCATTGATTTGGAAATTCTTGCATGAATCAGAAAATTATCGTAATTTAATGAAACTTTCAGGACATTCACAATTGAATTAAATTATTTTAGTAGTCTTTCATTTTTTTTTTTTAGAAAATCTTATTAATTTTTCTTCTACATCTATCACCCCCACCACACACTTATTTTATTTCATGAAATTTGGAGAAATTCATTTTTTGTAGCGTTTAATTTTTATATTAGTTATAAGCATATGTCCTTGGAGAATTTAAATAATCAAAACCTCCAGTTACAGAAGATCTCTAAATAGTAGAGTAAAAATTGCATAAGACTAAATCACTTTTTAGATTATTCGGTCCTCATCTTTGTTGCCATATTTATCACAACGTTTCAGCCGTTGTATGCTCCGGCCAGGTGGTTGGAATGTCGAACTGAACCCTGGGGTAGAGTGTTCTAGTTCCACGTGCCATGTCTAATGGATGTCAGTTATCAGTTATCCTCATTGACACATGACACAGTTTATAAAGGAGTTATTTTGTGACAAGACCTAAAGTTCAGTACCTAGTTAAGTCGGTGGAGAGGTTGGTTCCTCACGTCAAAACAGCGAGAAAAATCCACATAAACATGTGTCCGCAAATCGTTCGTTTTTAAGTTAAGTTTAAAGTTTACGGTACACACTGTTAAATGTACCATCCAAGACACAATCCAAAAATACTTTCATAAAATTTGGGAACAGGTTTCCTGACACTAAAACAAGATAAAATGTCCATATAAACATATGTCCAAAAGGCCATCGTCGAACCTCAACACAGCAAATCATAACAAATGTTCAAAATATCCTCCGTTTGCTTATACCCACGCATGCACCCGTCGGATCAATGACTGGTGGACCCATTCAAATACTCCCAGACGGTGTCGAATGGTTTCGCATGCCCCCATGACACATTGATGAAGCGTCTCTGCATTATTAATGTATGTTGCATAAACTAATTGTTTTAGGTGAAATCACAGATTTGGGTATCACATTTCTTTAGATGTACCCATGTATATATATATATATATATATATATATATATATATATATATATATATATATATTCAGTTTATAGACATTAGTTTGTGACCCTGGGTTTCACGCTTTTGCGATCATCAATCAAAACTTGAGTTTGTCTGATGACTATCCAAAGGAGTTATTCGGACGAACTTGCAGGCCATGGAATCGGTCCTTCCCTATCTATCTATCATTCATGATAGATGTCAGTCAGTGCATCACGAACAGTGTCACTAAAATGTGTTGGAGCCCCATTATACATGAACTACATGCGTCTTCGTATTAGCAGGGATACATCCTCTAGCAGGTCGGGAAGTGTGTACGAAATAAAATCCCTGTAGACAGCTTCTGTAAAACGTGCTGCGAGAACATATAGACCTACCAGACAGTCACCTACAATTCCAGCCTACTCATTAATCGTAAACTGATGCAGGTATCTATCCTGTATTGTACCATGGGATTCCGATCCGCCCACAAATGTTGGTTGTGTAAATTTGTTTTTCCATCTCTTCCAAATGTGGCCTCATCGGAATGTTTGGACCCCCCCCCCCAAAAAAAAAAACATCGGCAAAATTTCTCCCGAGGTTATAGGTTATTGATCAGAGGGTGAAAGACGCTGCACAAGTTGTAAATGATACAGTTGCAGGAGCTGATCTTCTATGCAGTACTATGAGATGTACGACATGTTAAGGCTACTCGACAGTTTGTAGAATGTGTTCTACGTGGTCAGGTGTACGAGCGGATCTCGGTCTTCTTCGATCCATAATTTGTGGTGCCACGAATCCTGTTTCAGCAGCAAAAGTTGGATGACTCGGTTGACTTTAGTCTGGAAATGCAATTTGATACAGCCGTGACGCCTTGTGTCCATTACCATTAGCGCGGCAGGATATAAAAATCATACCTGCCTGAACATGAATATCCTGCCATTGTCAAATGGAACACTTCTCAGTTAACTCACTACTATACGCGTTAAACGTTGAAGAGAGACAAATGTACACGAATGACAAATGTAACCTAGTCTATATGGCAACACATCGCCATTTACCATAAACTTCCTTTAAACTTAATAACTCAGAAACGAAGGATTTGCGAACATATGAACTTTTGTCCTTGTTTTGGTGTGAGGAACACCCCCACCAAAAAAATTTTTTTGTAAAAGTATTTTTGATTTAATTTTAATTTTTGATTTGTGTGTGTATGTATGTGTGTGTGCGTCTGTGTGTGTATGTGCGTGGGTGTGTGCTTGGGTGTGTACCTATAAAAATAAAGTGACTCACGCATGGAAATCTTTTACTTAAATTTTAAGTTAATATGGGGTAATAATTGAAGGTAGTATTAAAGATCTTTCTCCGTCATATACTGTATACACACCCAAACATACATACATATATATATATATATATATATGTGTGTGTGTGTGTGTGTGTGTGTGTGTGTATGTGTGTAAAAATAGTGACTCACGCATGGAAATCTGCTGGTTCTTTACTGTCTTCAATCTTTTTTAAGTGCATTTCTAAAATTTTTAGAGTATCTTCAATCATTGGCACGATCTGAAATTAAAAAAATATATAAAATCGTCAAGATAAAATTAAGAATCTTTAAAAAATGATGAAAAAAATTTATTTTCATTTTTCTTGCTTTTTTTATTTTAGATTGCTGCTATTCCTCTGGTTAAGTCGTTCTTTACATTAGGATTCTCAAATCGGATAATGTGTTTATAAAATTACGAACGAATTCAGCAAAAGAATTCATATATTAAACTAATTCTTACAATAAATAAATAAGTTTATGTTTAAAATGAACGTTTTTATTAGATACACACCTCACGTAATTTTTTCGCGCTGTAAGATGGGGACAAAATAGTACGAAGGTATTTCCAGTGGTCATCTCTGGCAAAAGATACCGTATTGTTAGTGTACTCATCCAGTGGATAGGGTAGCTGCAGATTTAATAAAACATATGTGTGGATTAATCGGTCACGCTTAAGTGTCATTAACAATATCATGTCAAGAAGAAGAAAAGTCAAATTACTCAATAAACAATAAGATAAAGAAGAAAAAAGAACAGGGCAAAATAATACTAAGCAATATATATATATATATATATAATGTTTATTGCTCCGCTGACGTTTTCACTTTGGTACGTCGACTTTCTGAATTTAAGTGCAGTACTAGATTGGCAGAAATGTCTCATCATTTCACAGTTAAAACAGTTTGATGTTACCATAATTCCTATGGCAACAGCTTCGTATTTCTTGCTTGTAGGACTCTCATCCGGGTTCTTGCTTCATAGGGCAGTGCCGCTTCTTATAGTGACTGACAGGAGGTATGTCAAAGAGGAACCTTTTGTAAATCCACCGGAAAAGAAGACTTCTTGAAAGGAGGCGAATTGCAGCCAGTGGAATCTGTGCCTTCAAAAGAGTCAAAACCAATAAAGGAGCTGGTGTTTCTAAAGGATTTACCAAAAATGACCCTGTCCTCTCCCAAAGAGATTTCCTTTTGCTCCGTAAGGAGGCTACCAAAACGACGCAGTCACCTCCCAAGGAGTTGGTGCCCACTTCAGAGCTGACAGATCCCAAGTACACAAACAAACTGACCACTCGCCTCTCAAAGCGGCAGATTAAAAGACCGCCAATATGACCAAAGATTCAGTGGCTGAGGAATTACCATCTAGCTGGAAATCTCCGCCGGCAATGCATAGTGAATTTGATGTAATTCTTGGAGAGGACCGACAGGTATACGCGTTTTGATGACCTGATGGTTGAAAGTTGAAAAATTCACACAGAGAATTGTCTGTCTTTGTGGTCGACAAGCGCACGGGCAAGACTTGTCGTTTCACAAAAGACACCTGTACCTAGGTTTGTTGCTGTGGCAAATTATTAAAGAATTTTATGCGGGATGTTTTGCTGCAAACGCCCGAATACTGTACGTTCTTAGTCATCGTAAGTTGATCAAAAAGATCTGATTCTATGGGCGGACTACAGGGACACGAGGAAGACCGTCGCAGTTGTATATGAAGTACATCTGCATGTAAATGGGGAGACGGTGGTTATTTATTTTAAACAGTAGTCACATTATCGGCGTCACCTTTGGCTGCAGGCTCGGGGAATGGAGTTGCAATATGATGTTGTCTCAAAAGACCCTCGTCTCCGTAAACAACTATATGGACATTGGCGAGCAAATGTTACGAGTCATTGTGAAATTGGCTTGCTAACCGCATCTGACTGCATGTCAGATTGGTTATATAGTTCGTTCTTGCCCAGAGAAGAAGGCCTCTGACTTTCCTCCCGCCGCTAACCACCCTCAAACCAATGTTACGAGTTCCGCCATGCCTACAACCAGGACCAGCGTCGGAAAACCGCCTGATCATTCTTTGCTGTGTTCTGCCTTTCTGGATACCTCTTTGTCTAACAAAGAGAAGGGGGAATGGCAGAATGTACGCAAGAAAAGATAGAATGTTCAAACAGTGGAACATCGGTCTACTAAACCCTGTTCGGCTAAAGACACAGACAGCTTCACTCGATTACGGGTCCATGGACAGAAAAAGGATCCACCTCGGGATAAATTACAAAAATACGGAAACTAAAGGCATCATCGTCATTACCCAAATCTTCATGACCGTCACCAAAGTCTGTTCGCCCGGCGTCCTCTGTTCCATCGTCCCTGATCAAGAAGAAGAAGAAGAAGAAGAAGAAGAAGCAGTTTTTCACTTACTCCGGTGATAAAACAAAGAACGTCTAGCTCATTACTTGTCACAAAAGACAGTATGGCGTCAGAGGAAAGCAGTGCGTAACATACTTGATGGGCTTGAGCAAACGGATGGTAAAACAGGGTTTGAGAGAAATAAAAAAAAAAGACAAAATCTATTAAGGGTTACAAAGGAAGATGTTGAGATCCATGATCGCTTACGTTCTGAAGTTACACGGCACATAAAAGAAGTAACCTTGTGCGTCAGTCATCCCAAATCCTGTTAAGGTTGATTAGGAGAGTTTTGTTATTTGGCCATTTTTGGTCGTTTTTTTCCGGTTTAATTTAGCCAGTGTATATATATACGCCTTTATTAGCTGACAGATTTCTCAAATCTCTGTTAGGTGTAAGATATTTTCGTTTTTGTTTTGCGTTTTGTGTCTTGCATTGTTTTGCCATGTTAATTGAAATTTTATGAGGTGTGATAGGGAGAACAAATACAAACAGATTTTTTTTTTTTACTTTCATGTGTGTATTTATTTTTCACTGTGTAAAAATCATTGGTAATTAGTATCCTTCCTGAAAATAAATTGTGTATACAACTTTTAGGTTAGGAATTTTGCTAAAAAAATGAGGTTGTTTTTTTTCATTGATTTATTTTGTTTTACGGCCTATCAACCTCAATGGGTTATTTAATGCCAACAAGATTTCTAGGATAGAAAAATACCTATTCTTTGAAAGAAATCAGTTTGTAGATCAGGTTTCATTGACGTATTTTTGTAAAGACGGTTTCTGTCGAGAGTCAAATGTGTTGCTGGTAATTTTTTTCACAAATATATTGCTGGTATTTTTAATATAAAATCTATTTTTATACTTTCATAATGTTTTGACCGCAATTTGGAGTTTAACTATTTTCCCATAGCTGAGGCCCTAACATGTGCTAACATCCGAGTCAGGGTGGACCTGGGAACAACAGCAATTAAGGGGTTGTTCCACGCTCATTAAAACTTTCCTAACTGCCGGATGTAGTTTATCATCATACCCAGGACAGATTAAATGAGCTATTCTGGTGACTGTGGTGCGTCTAAATAAGAGTAAATGTGGTGTTAGGATGAAAGGAAAATATTTCTGCACATGGATCGATAAGTGAGACTAGCTAGGTTAACGGTAGCACTGGTGAAGATTGGTCTCCCCCATATTGGCCTTGTGCCACATTTTGTACAGTTAAATATACAAATAAATATTAATTTCTATAGAATGGAACCTTCTTTCCGTACCTCAGAACATGAGAGATGCCAAGATCGTCAGCCTCTACAAGAACAGGGGTGAGCGAAGCAACTACAACAACTACAGAGGCATCTCGCTACTCAGCGTTGTGGGCAAAGTCTTTACTCGGGTCATCTTGGTCCGCTTGCGGAAACTCGCCGAACGTGTCTACCCAGAGTCGCAGTGTGATTTCCTAGCTGAAAGATCAACGGTAGACATGGTCTTCTCCTTCCATCAGTTCAAGGAGAAGTGCAGAGAACAGCAGATGCCCCTGTACGTCGCCTTTATTGATCTCACCAACGCGTTCGATCTCGTCAGCAGAGAAGGCCTCTTCAGAATCCTGTCCAAGATTGGTTGCCCACTCAAACTACAGAGTTGATTGAGTCATTCCATAGTGACATACGGGGGACTGTGCAGTTTAATGGCATCACCTCTGAGCCCTTCAAGATCTGCAGTGGGGCCAAACAGGGCTGCGTCCTCGCTCCCACTCTCTTTGGGATTTTCTTCGCGTTGCTTCTGAAGCATTCATTCAGCATATCAAGAGAAGTGATTTACGGAGGCCTACTTGCATACGATATCAGATGGCAGGTTGTTCAATCTCGCCCTCCTCGGAGCCAGGACCAAAGTACGCGAAGCCCTTGTCAGAGACATGCTTTTAGCCGACGATGCGGCGGTAGAGACTCATACCCAGTGTGAACTTCAGTCACCGATGAGCCGTTTCTTCCAGGCCTGCAGACACTTCGGGCTGACTATCAGCCTGAAAAAGACAAACGTACTGGGACAAGGTACCGAAACACCACCAGCCATCACCATTGATGACTATGAGCTCGATGCGTTCCATCAGTTCACGTACCTTGGTTCTACCATCACTGACAACCTCTCCTTAGTCGCAGAGATTGTCAAAAGAATCGGAAAGGCAGCTACAACACTTGCGCGCCTCACAAAACGTGTAAGAACCAATCTCAAGCTGTTGATGAAGACCAAGATGACAGTGTATAACGCCTGCGTTAACAGCACACTGTTAGATGGTAGCGAGGCATGGACCACGTACGCCAGGCAAGAAAGGCATCTGAACACCTTTCACATCCTGGGAATAGCGTGGCAAGAAAAGGTGCCCAACATTGAGGTCCTGTCTCGATCAGGTTATCCCAGCATGTTCACACTGCTCAGACAGCGCAAGACTCCACTGGTTGGGCCACGTCCATCGCATGCCAGACGGTCGCATCCCCAAAAACCTGTATGGAGAGCTGGCCGCTGGAAGGAGACCAACTGGGCGGCCACAGCTGCGGTTCCGCAATGTCGTGAGACGCGACATGAAAGCTGTGGACATCAACAAGGAGTCCTGGGAGAGCCTGGCAGCCATACGATCCGAATGGAGAGGAACCCTGACCAAACACTTCAAGTCAGGGGAGGAGAAGCTGACACAAGTCGCCACGGAATAGCGGGCCCACAGAAAGCAAAGTGACAGCTATAACAGACCAGGGACAGAACACACATGCGACCTCTGCTACAGAGATTGTCACTCTTGCATCGGCCTCTACAGTCACAGACGTCGATGCTCCAGCCAAGCAGACAATTAGGATGCTACCCATGGTCAACCCAGACCAACGGAGGCCTACAACAAGAATGAAATCAACACATATGTAACGAACAACCTGCATTTCATATATAAGTAATTTATATATAATATGTAAATTCATTTGTATTGATATAAATTCAGTGAGGCGAACCAATTCTCTTATTTTATTGATTGATTCGTGTTTTACAGTTTATCAGCCCTTTGCAGATTATTTAAAGCCAGAAAATATTCTTAGATTGTAAGAATGTTTTGTTGAAACTAACAATGATTTAGTGCTACAAGATTTACTAATTAACCCATAGCTGGGGGAGAAGCGGTAGATTAATGTCTAATCAGAAATTGATAAACAAACAAGAAAGTATAATGCCGATATAAAGTGGGGGGTTAGTTCTTTATAACAATCACAATGTAAACTGATACCTCACTTTGTGGCCACGGTAACTTCTATCCATTTATATTCCAGAGAATGTAAGTAAATCTAAAAGACATGTTTTTGTTGCTAATCAGTAATTCATTGATTGATTGATTCATTTTCTACGGTTTATCAACCCTTTGCAGGGTATTTAAAGCCAGAAAATATTCTTAGATTGTAAGATTTCTATGGAGAGATAATAAAAGTTTGGTGATACAAGTTTGCGTGTGAATAAAAAACGAAGCCAACGGGAATTGGAACTTGGCTCTTCGATTAGCAATTCCGAACCATTATTCATTACACCACCCACACATCCAAGATTACAGCACCTGGTATTCCCAAGCGGTCACCCATCTACGTACTGACCAGGTGTTGCTTAACTTCGGTGACCGTGCGGGCATCGGGGGGTTCCAACGTGATATGGTCTGAAGCCCTAATTCACTTGGAAGCACACTGAGAAAATAAAAGAATATATAGAAATTTTTGGAAGGAAGTTTTTTGGTGGAAGATTTGCTCGGGTGTTAAAGCAGCCAAAAATGCCACATCAGTGTGTTGTAATATTATTGCCGCAGTCATAGAAAGAAATAAGTTAAATAAATAAGTCATGGCTATGCTAAGATTAGATAATTTTTTTTTTTTTAGAATTGAACGATAAAGATTTGAATTAATTTTTATCCAAGATCAGAAAAGCAGCATTTGTTCTTTTCAATTTGTTAACACTTATTAGGAGAGTTAATCATGGATGAAATTGATGAACTCTTCCTCTATTTATGTATTTATTTCCAAGTGAATAAAATTATAGAAAATATATGAAAAGAATTAAAATGTTTTCTGATATTTAAAGGGTAAAATTAGTGAATCACATATGTTTGCAAACAATATATTTACTAAGCATTAGTGGATATAGAAAAATAAAACTCACCCTTCTGTTTATAAAATTGGAGAAATGTTTGATCAAAATTTTCTCTATAATTTCAGGGTCACCAACAACTAAATGAGGATCCGATCCCAAATAGATCCTACAAAAAATATACTGGATTATATATATATATATATATATATATATATATATATATGAGAGAAATAACTGATTGAGTAAAAATCCACAATTCGTAGCATGTAGCGTTTACTTTTAAAAAAGTGCTCAATACAAAGTTGTGCAAAATATTATATTTTTATTATAATAAATTACAATAAAAACATTTTACATCGCTACACAAAAACTTTCATGTTTCGGTACTTAGATGGCGATCTTGTAAGGATGTAAAATGTTTTTATTGTAATTTATTACAATAGAAATATTATATATATATATATATATATATATATCGTACAACCAACAGAAACCTTACCATGTGACCGAAAAAAATCTCAAATAGAAAATAAAAGTAAAAACAAAAATTTACTAACAACAAAAATCAATAAAACCTATAAAGATGGTGAAAATAAACAAAGAAAAAATGACCAAAATTCAGCCCCCCCTACCACCGCTACCTAAACAGTAACCAACAGTGCTATAGGCTTAGGTTATCAAACACAGAGCAAAAACACTACATGCTTTCGCATTTCAAAGGAGACAAAGTTCTGACTATTACTTAAATTTCCCGCTTCCGTGATCGTCAGGGGACCATATATACAGGATGTGACAAAATATGACATAAGTCAAAATGGCAGTCGATGTTCAAACTGACATCATGTCCGTCGTTAACTAGTGCAAAAGATTGCTTGGGTATTTTAACGCCTCCAAAACTAAACTTCTATTCATTAATCATCTGAGAGACTTGCTGTTTTCCATCAGTATGGCTGATGCTAACCTCCAGAGATAGTGACTCGTTTCACCTTCTCCGACTAACGTTCTCAGCTGATTGGAGGTGGAAACTCTACATTGAATCCATTGCTAGGTCAGCTGCTAAGAAAGTCGGTTCACTGCATTGTGCGAGACAATTTTTCTCTCTAGAATCTATCTTCGATACCTACAAGTATACCATTCATCCATACTTAGAATATTGCTGCCACACAGTGCCCTTGCTATTTACCTTGTGCTCCTTGATAAGATCCCAAGAAGAATCAGCAATATTATTAGTCCTGATCTGGCAGCTCGGCTTCAGTCACTTTCCCACTGCCGAAAGTTTGCCTCTCTGTGTCTTTTCTATAAATACTTTCATGGTAATTGTTCGGATGAGCTCTTTGCTATGGTGCCTAGACTTTATGAATTTCAACGCAGTACTAAACTGGCGTCGAGATCTCATCAATTTACAGTTGAGCTGTCTAGATGTAACTGTAATTTTTTTTTTTTGGCTAATAATTTATTTTCTTGCACTTATCGCTTGTGGAGTTCCCTTCCGGTTTCATGCTTTCCAGACAACTTTAATCTCCAAATTTTAATGCAATGTCAATCGTTATCTACTGTCACCCTGATTAGTCTTTTCTCTTTCCGATCATCTCTATCTATAAAAGGCAGGATGTGTGTGTGTGTGTGTGTGTAACGAATGCACTGCCGCAATTATTGACGGATTTGCACCAAAATTTACATGCACTTATCGGGAAGGCCAAAACTGACTTTGCATTTCCCAACTCCCATCGATAGTGGAAATAATCGATTTTTTCATGCTTCAACGGCAGTTTTCATGTAGTTTGCGGCCATTTTCTACTGGCCAGAGTGAGAGCCTATAGCTGGCTGCCACGCATAGGCAGGAAGATTCTATTGGCGAGCATGAGAGCCAACAGCTGACTGACACGATTGTTAACTAGCATGCTAGCATGCAAAAAAATCGATAGCTGCATTCGTCACAAGTGGGAAAAATTTAAATCTGCTTGGCACTTTACTCCAATTGGCTTATTCGCTTGCTTAAACTCAACGTTGATTCTGAACTGGGTTGGGCGTGAAAAATTATTTGTTGTTAACATTCTTTTTTCATTCGGCTTTTCCAGTTACGAGTCCTTTTTTAAAACTGATCGTTTTGTGTTCATTTTGTTTAGTTCTTTTTTCGTAAAAAATTTAATGTTTAGTATAGAGGTTAGAAAAAATTCGCAGTGTGAGATAGGCAAGAAGTAAGGCATGTAGCAACATCAGCACAGCAAAGGTCACTCCTTTAAAGGCAAGGAAGGGCAAAAATATTTTAAGTCAAGTGATAGCGATTGCTGTATGAGTCGTACGATTTTTGAATCAAGCACGGGCAACGCCGGGCCATGCTACTAGTTATTAATGTTTCTGTTCCTAATTTTTCCACATTCCGTAATGCCTTGTGTTTTAGTAGCTTTACTAAATTGCATGGGGTAATACCAATTAAATATTACCCGCTCGGTAGATATCCAATACTACTTTAAAACATTTCATAGATGGTGTAGATACCTTCTCGGCAGATATTCTATTCTACTTCAGTTTGAAATCAACTTTGTCATCTTGGAAACGTAATTCAGAACATCATTTCCCTCTCAATGCATATTCTTTTATTTCAAATTAGAATTAAGCAATCATTGATATTTCTGCTTCTTTATATTAGCCTTGGAAGTGAATTCATCGTTTTACAAACAACAAAACGGCTTTTTTTCTTTTTTAGGAAATCAATAACAAAATGAAACTTATTTTTGCAGCTCGCAATAACTTGCAGATCATATTAATGTTATCACACAACTCCTTGAAATTGTTAATACAGGAAAAAATGTCTTACCCATAATTGTCACCATATTCTTTCTGCCATTTTAAAAACACGTAAGCATACTCCTAGAATAAAAATGACAATTTAAATTCTTACAAGATACAAATTCTCCATGAAGTAGATCTTGGGAACTCTATGCAATCAAAATAAAAAAAATAAAAACATGTTTCAGTTTATAATAAATAGAAATTAACTGTCTAAAAAATCTCGTATTGGTATTGTTAGAAACTGAAAAGTAATATTCATTTGTCATAATTTTCTCAACATGTCGTTTAAATATAATTTTGCGATAACACATCTACAGCTTCTGTCTATATTCCTGAAATGTATTTTAACTATTTACATTATTTACATCGTTAGGAATGTTGTGCTCATCGTTATTGCCATGTTCTCAACATTTCGGCCGTTGTACACTCCGGCCTTCTTCAGGTGATATACGTTGAAATTTCAAACTGAGCCCTTTATTTAGTCCACTGGTGTAGCCCGAGAAGGAATAGAGAAATCAGACATGGCTGACCATATATGCAGGGAAAAGAGAGATCACCCCCCACTCTGTGTGATGAGGTTGAAATAATAGAGACAGAACATTATTGGAAAATACGAAAACGTAAGAAATCAGAGCATATACTAGGCCATAAAAATCTCCTAACCTGGCTAAGCATAGAAATAAATACAAGATGGAAACCAACAATATATAGAAATTGAGAAAAACAACAACGAAAAAAATGTAATATAAGCTAGTGATATATTTAGGTTTATATGTCTTCAGAATTCACTCATTAATATCCCCAGTTGATAAAAGCATTGGGTGATTGATCCAAAACGTGACTTGGCCCTAAGAGTTGTGAGTTCAATACCTGGCCACAGCAGATAGAACAAAAAATTGGAGATTTGAGTTACTAAAGGGAAATAACTGAAATATCCAGAAAAGGCATGACACGTGGAATTAGAACTATCTTCCCCTGTGGACTAAATAAAGGGTTCCGTTTAAAATTCTAAAAATATCACCTGTACAATGTGAATATTGCAATAAAGGTGAGCATTTAGTGTGTTAGCTACTTCTATAAGGTTTCTGATAAGAATATGTTACCACTACATGAAATAATGATAATGAAAAGGTACATGCACAAAATGACAGAAACGATTGATTTGCAATGCAAGATAACATTTAAAAAATGAGAAAAGGAAAGTTTATTCAGAGAGTTTATTTTCCTAAAAGTAAATTGCATACACAACGAAATTAATGAATATATTTGAGTGGGACTTATTGTGTTGATGTGTTTTAGCGTGGAGCGGTCACAGCCATTTTAGCTTCAGTGTGAAAAGTTCATGTCATAAAAAAAAAACGGAAGAGAGAGCTACATAAAGCTTTGCTTGTTTTTATACCACAGAGCTGCTGCCGATACTAGGTTTATTAAGGACTGCTACTGCTACTACCTTTATTAAGGCACTACAACAGCCTGAACGATGTAAATAGTGTAAACATCTATAAATGTTTATTCATTACTGTCACCGTTTGATATGCACAATGAAGAGATTAAAATTAATGCAAAAGTACTCTAGATGAAATACACAGCAGAGAAATTTAGCACTGATACAATTTCTTGAATCGAAAATTACAAGTAACTCCTTCATCTTTTTAGATATACCATTTATACGATTAGGTTGTCCACCGGAATCAACCTTTTCAATCAATAAATACAGCCAGACGAAAGACTGATGCAAGATAATTGCTTCTCTTCTTAAAGGATTCAAAAATTGCAGTGAAAATGATTTTAAATCTGAAATACTCACCCAATCCTTTATTTCTTTAAGATTTCCAAGAAAAGCTATTGGTTTTGGACCTTTAATTCCATAGGCTGCAAAATAGCCAAAATTTCTTCTTCCATAGCTGTAAAAGGAAAAGATTGCTTTATGAAAATATGGATGTCCCGAGAAAAGAGAATTGTCTGCTTACAGATCGAAGCTAAGTAAAGAAGAAAAAAGAAACAATATAACCAGTAAAGAGTTGGCAACGCATATAAATACAAATAATTTGATAATTACATTAATCTTTCGATTAACAACTGCGCTTTTGCCTGACGAAAGCTCTAAATATCATCATAATAAATACAATCAATATGACAATGTTAAAAAATTCGTGATGCAATTTGCCCTTCTCTATAAATTACTATTTTATTGTTTAGTCGACGAAGAAGATAAATCTTCCCTTAGACATGTCATAAAGAAATACACAACCCCAATTGAACCGAACAAAAAAAAAAAAAAGAATCAAATTATCTACTACAAAAATTTAAAACAGCTAACCTTATCCTCAGAAATAACAACACAGCAGCAATATCAAAACGACAACGAACGAAATTATCTATGAGTTCAAATGCCCCTTAAGGAACTGTATTCCTGATCAAACCCAATTCATAATTAATTACATCGGTTACACTACTACATGCCTATCTCGACGCCTTACGTTACACATATCCAACCACAACTCAATTAGAACCCATTCAAACACACATACAAACTTACCAGACTACATCCAAAACATACTAGTAGAAAACACAAATATAATAACCTCATCCACACGTAAAAAATAATGAAAGCCTTAATAATAAAAAAAAGAAAAGGGTAACATTTAATAATATTAACTACGAACACGGCCACAATGTGCTAACTGTATTCGGAAATTAAAACATCTCTATCTTGAAACATACACACAACCCATACACCCAGTTAAAAAGCAAAAATAAAATCATCTTTGATAATGTCTAAAAGTATAGCCGAAAACGTTCGGAATTACAGAACACACTCGTTCGAACACAAGAAAAATGAAATAAAAAGCTTAATCGTAGTACCTTGTCTCTCGTCTTTAATGAAATATATATATATATATATATATATATATATATATATTGAACAATATTGATACTGCACTCTAATTTGGTTGGGGTATTATGTATCGTTTAAGTTGTATCTCGGGAACACACACACACACACATATATATATATATATACAAGATTACAGTTTTAGTATTGTATCAATTGGGCTCATATATATATATATATATATATATATATGTGTGTGTGTGTGTGTGTGTGTGTGTGTGCATATTTGTGGAGAGAGAGAGAAAGCAAGAGAGAGGGAGATAAACAGACAGACTGAAAGAGCGGGAAAACAGTGTAGATATATGAATAAACACAGAATGGTGTCCATCTTGTCTTCCGACCGTGTCTCTAATTCTTTTGACAAATATAGGCCACTTGATGATTAAAGAAAATGGGACCCTTCATATGTTTTTTGTTTAAGGGTAATACATTAGGTTTTTTAAGCCACGAGGTTAAGTTTCTTTATTTTTTAAATATATTTTTAAAATAAATATTTTTTTTAATTTGTATTTCATTTATTCCTTTGTTTTGTTTATTTTCTTCAACTTTAATTGTTAGTATGTCTACCCAAGTTCGTTTAGTCGATGGGACAAGTTAGTCCTTTGCGTCATAATGTTGTATATAGTGTAGTAGTAATTTGCATATTTTGTGCGAGTTGCTTTTCTGTTTTCTGTTTCTCTCGGCTGTCTGTTATTCCTGTATATTTTTTATGTGTTTCCCTGGGATCTTACGATATTTTGTCGTCAGCTACAGTTTACAGGTGAGGATTGTGGGTATTTTTGTGATGTACTGGTGATTTTTCTGTTGTGTTTTATTTGTAGCATGTTTTCAGTTTTAGACTACTTTTGATTCCACTGACTTTTTCCGATTTTCTTATAGAACCCGAGAAACTAAGACAGATGGTCTAAAGATCACTTGCACTGAAAATATGCTACATATAAAAACACAACAGATTGTCACTAGTACATCAGAAAAATCCCCAACTGCCACTTTAAGTCAAAGATCAACAAACCTCGTTCAGTAACCCTCTACGTCTTGGATACAACGATAAACTACATCCGTGTCCTGGGTAAGACGATAAACTACACCCGCATCCTGAGTAAGACGATAAACTACATCTAATAGCAAGGCTCTAATCAGGAGGTTCTGAGAAGCATGGAGCTGCATCTTAATTGCTATTGTTCTCAAGTCCACTTTGATCCGGGGTGTAGCCCCTGCCAAGGTCCCAGCCATGGGCAAATATTTAACCCCCAAAAGGGGTCAAAACACTATGAAAGTATAAAAATAGGTTTTAATACCAGCAATATTTTTGTGAATAATTATTACCAGCAATATATTTTTGAAAAAAATATTACCGGAAATAAAAATCTTGTCGGTATTAAATAACCCATAGAGGTTGATATGCCGTAAAACAAAACAAATCATACCAAACCAAACCAAACCAAACCAGTAACCCTCTACCTACAGAGACTCTCGTGCCTTAAATTGGAGAATTCTTTTCTTCATAACAAAAGGAGGTACTAGAAAAATGTTCACAAAGACGAGATGAAGTTGCTTGAATAGGAAATACTTAATGAAAAATGTCTGCGATTGTCATAACTCAGCAGCACATATAACATAAAGCATCCATAGAAAAAGTTTAAGCAGAAAACATCGGTTGAAGCAGACAGTTTTGTCCAAAGTGAATCAACGATATTCATTTGGAGCGAAGCTTGAAGGAATTGGTTACCATTTTATTATTAAAACATTTCAAGAAAATAAAGAAACATATGCAAAGAGCCAAGTATTTTACCTTATTTGGATATTTTTCGGAAAAAATGTACTTTAAGTTTAAAATGATAAAAAGCCGGTCTTCTTAACAGAGGTGTTGACTGACATGTGCGTGATTTCATCTTACGGGAGGAAAAGTTATAGTACGGAAGCTCACAAGTGACAGTTTAGCTTTATGTGAACAACTTATTTACCACGTTATTTTTAAGTAGGCATAGCATGATAAAAACGGCCTTAAATATGACGAAAGCAGAATTTTATCGTCAAAATGTTTATGTTACCATCAACGCAAACCACGTGACGGACTATTGTTTTCATGTCGCTTCCGATCTTCTGTATATTTGAATTTAAGCAATTTTTGGACACACAAAAAAAAAATGTTATATTAGATTTTTAGCTATTGGCAACTTGCTGATTGTAATCAGCTTTTTTTTTTTTATTTATCTGTAAATGATATTTATCTACTTAATAACACCACTGACTAAACTGTACAACATTTTCATTTTAGAATATTTAACAACTTTAATGTAAAAAAAATGAAATAATTTAAGAAATAACAAATAATTGTTGTAAAAATTTATTTTTCATCAAAAACGTTTTTTGCTTTCAGAAAATATTATCCATATTCCTACAAACAAAAAAGTAACTAAAAGCTTTTGAAATTAAATAATTTTATTGAGTTTTGTTTGTTACAATTCAGAGCTGATTTTAAGGTAGAAAGGGGTCAACTAAAAAAAAAAAATGATTTGCTTTCCTCAAATCCTTGTGCTTTTAACTAATTAATCACTAAAACTGTACAAATTAGAATTTCATAAGTTTTCATAAAATAAATTATGGGGAGGGGTAATAAATATAAAAAAATTTTTTACCATGACTTTAAAAAAAAATAAACATATATATAATAATTTCCATTATTTGTGAATAGTTTCTGAAAGTTTCATTAAAATCCGACAATTATGGCGGTTCTTACATTTTACCTTTTGTTTGTTTTTTCCAAACAAGAATCAAACATTCCTTGATTCACTAAAATAACGCATCTTAAAATTTTTTTCTTTCAAAAATAAAAATAAATGAAATGTGTTGACTGACAATAAAATTTAAAAGCTATGGTACGGTAATTATGGCGTGTCTATTTATGGAAGTGGAAAAGAATAAATCCTCAATAAATCTGTGTTTAAAACAGTCTGGAAGAGAAAATGTAGAGTTAACTTAAGAAATGAGTTCATCAGTAACTTTAATAATAATAATAATAATAATGATAATAATAATAAATTCAAAATGGAGTTTCAAATGGGCACAGACATACAAGTAAAGCACAATACACCTGCTGAAGCTGCAAAATACTTTAAAAAAAGCAAAGACAAATCGAACCGACCAGATACAGAAACAATGGCAAGATAAACCGCTTCATGGCCAATACTCTGCCCGTACCAAGCAAGCTGACGTAGACAAAAACCGTACCCATCAGTGGCTCCGTAGTGCAGGGTTGAAAGCGGAAACTGAAGGTTTTATCATTGTTGCGCAGGACCAATGCTTGTTAACTAGGAATTATCAAGCACATATACTAAAATACTTAGATGTGAGGGACGTTCATTTTTTGAATGTTTTTTTTTTCATATGTTCAATAATAATAATAATAATAATAATAATAATAATAATAATACTGATAATAGTAATAAAAATAATAATAATGATAATAATAAAATGAACACATTACGGCATAAATTATAAACAGGAGAATAACGTCTGATCAAACATTTCAGTTTGAGAATTTGATCAGATATAAGGATATAGAAATGGAAATCACACCATTTTGACAGTTAAAAACAACCATTAATCCAGTAGTAGTAAGAGCACTGGGAGCAATTAAGGAGAATAAACATACGCATAAAAATAAAAAAAAGTCTCCCAGGAGATGCATATTGTGTAACTACTGATTACATCATTCGAAAAAGAAATCCAATCCAATCTGTACAAAAAATCAGTAAAAAAACACCAAAACATTCATTTATCTTTGGTCTTAGGTGAAAATGTTTGGCAAATGCTTGTCTCAAATAGCAAATTAAATAAATAAAAATAATTGGGAACTTACAGATAAAGGCTGAGTAGAAAAAACAAGGTGACCAGTAAAAAGTTGGGAACATATAAAACGCCATAAAAATCCATTTCAGAACAAACTTTTGTTTCTTTTTACTCCGGGTTCTGGTCGTAAATGAAAAATAAATACATTTCTTTTCTTTTCATAATATATATATATATATATATATATATATATATATATATATATATATATATATATATATATATATACTCAGACCATATGGATGTAATCCTCCCGGCATACATACATCCACTCCCAACACCTTTACTGACATCAGAATTAGATTAGATAAAAATATTTTTCTCTTTACTTAAACGGGACACCAAAAATATAATAATATCTATCGAGTAATGTCAACCTGGCATACTAACCGCGTCACGTTGATACACATGTACTCGTACGATCAGCGAAGTTAAGCAATGTCGAGCCTGTTCAATACATAAATGAGTGACCGCCTGACAAAACCAGGTGTTGTAAATCTGGGTGTGTGGTTGGTATAATTTACGGCCTGATCACGTTGAAACGTCTCGTACGATCACCAAAGTTAAGTAACGTACAGCCTGTTCAGTATCCAGATGGGTGACCGATTGGGCTGCTGTAAGGTTGGGTGTATGGGTAGTATTGATTACGGCCATATCATTGTATTTCCGGTTCTCGTACGATCACCGAAGTTAAGCAACGTCGGCCTGGTTAGTACTAAGGTAGGTGTATGACATGGGAATATCAAGTGTCGTAAGCTCGGATCTGCGAATGGTATGGCTTACAGACATATCACGTTAATTACACTTTCATCTTTTTCAGTTTTTAGATTGCCATAAAAAAAAATTATAAACATTTCCAAATATTTTGAAACCTTAAAAATTCCTCCGCTAGCTTAAAAAAAACAAAAAAACAAATCACCATGAAAACACAGACACGCGAAAAAATACACCCATCTCAATGTATTTGAAAACACTAAAATTTTAAAACTAAGTAGTAAGGATAGCTATTAAATTGATATTAGATGAATATTATATAACGATTCCTATAAGGAAGATTAGTCAGTCAAAGAAGATAATTCAGAATCATCTCTTTGTTGAACTTCTGTATCTAAAATAGTTTAACATTTACAAAATTCCAAAAATTGTTTTAAGAAAGGTTAATCCTTGGAGCCCTGACCACCGCTTTACCGGTGTTAGAGAAAAATACGCAACCAGTGGTAAAGAAAAATGACTTAATGCCTAGCTGCAGGTTGAACGGTGGGTAAACACTTGTAACTATTTTTTTATATCTACCGTGAAATATTACATACCAATTATTTGCAAATTTTTGACTCAGGAGCTGAGGCAGAAAGGTTGTTAAGATTGTTCTGGAACGCAGGGTTCAATGAGTTCATTCTCCCAAAATGCCGTTAAACTTTTTCTTTTTTTTTTAATTTTGTCTTTATAAACAAGGAACTCTTGTTACGAGCAGCAATGGATGAATTTCAAAATCGCACTGAAAAATTAAATTAAACTTTTAAAAAGTTAATGTTCAGTGTAAATCTACACAATTTTCTTGTCTAACCCCGAAGAAAATAATTTGTTTCATCAAAGATCTATATTTTGACTTTTATTGATTTATTTTTTATAAGTTTTGGGACGAATTTTCCTTATGTTCACAGTTGATATTTCATTGAGTTTAATGAATATCTCACTCATGGTTGTGTTTATATTTTTATTATACAGTAGGGTGAGCCAAATGAGGTTTCTTTTTCTGCTGCATCTTTTGTTATTTTAGGTGTTTAAAGTCGCCCCGTCAACACTGTTTCTTAATGCCAGATCAGACTGCTTTTGATTTTTTGAGTTTTACTTAATTATTTTTTTAGAAAATTCAGGGAGAATTTTCCCTATGTACACTCTTGATATTGCATAATTTTTTTTTGTACTGAAACAACAACATCAGGGATTTTCTTTTTATATAACTCTAAAGAAATTTCACGAAAACACCTTCTAAATTTTAAAAAAATACACACGAGATATTGAAAGGGGTCACATGAGACTAACCTTAAAAATTGATTTATTTTTTTATAAGGTTTGGGAGGAATTTTCGCTATGTTCACAAATGATATTGCATTGAGTTTAATGAATATGTATAACAGAGGGGATGTAACCTTGATCATTACAATCTTAACCTCTTCAAGTCGAGGGTCAATCGTTATCTATCTTAAATATCCTCATAATATGCAACCCTTGTGCCCTCCTTATTCGCCTTGATGACATCTTTATTCAGCAACCTTTGATCTTGTGCTGAGCAAACAATAGTAAAAACAAATGCATTTAGTTAAAAAAAACAACTTTCATTACCTTCACAAATTCATGGTACTAATTATTGTTTTTTTTCTTTTGAAGAAATCTATCTAAAAGAAATCTACTAATCGTCCATGCTTCGAATATTGCTATCACATATGGTTTAGTGCTCCTGCTTTATATTTAGAGATTCTTGATAAAACCCAAAGAAGAATCTGCAATGTTATTGGTCCTGACCTGCCATCTTGGATTCAATCACTTTCCCACCACCGTAACACAGCATCCCTGTGCTTTTTTGGGTGGGAGAGTCAGAGGCGAGATCAGCTGCCAAGCTCTGATCATATTAGAGTTTTGGAGGTCAGAGGCGAAATCATCTGTTAAACTCTGGTCATTTATGGTTTTTAAGGTCAGAGACGAGATCAGCTGCCAAGCTCTGGTCATTTAGAGTTTTGGAGATCAGAGGCGATATCAGCTGCCGAGCTCTGGTCATTTTGGGGTTTTGAAGGTCAAAAGCGAAATCAGCTGCTAAGCTCTGGTCATTTATGGTTTAGGAAGTGCGCCTATATACCGTTGTATCATCAGCATAGATATTCACAAATGATCTTCAAAATGTCGCCCCTGGTACGCCGCGGTAGTTAACGGGAAAGAGTACAGAGAGTTAGAGAGAAATGACAATGTAATTTGCAATTAACAGACCAAGGGTTATCCTCCATGAAGAGACTATTCTTTTTATTAATTTACTAGTAGTAGAACCCGGCGTTGCCCGGGGATATAATAGTAAGAGATAGATCAAGTATCCACCATCATATAGACTGAAAAATAAAATTGACAAAGATTATTGTTTAAGGTTGACGGACACGCATGTCTTAATTAGTTTTTTTTTTTACGAATTGGTCAAACCCAAATTCAAACAAAAACATTGTTTACAATCGTTATGAGTCTATCGATTGGTGAATAGAATTTTATTATAAACAATTCTCTTGTAAATGGAATTTTTAAAGCATTCTGAATGTAAAAATAAAGAAAAAAGTGTGCAAGACAATAAGAAACACTACATGCCCCCAAAAAGTCAAGTTTTGTTGAAATCGGTTGAAAAATGTAGGTAGCCTTTCTTTGTAATCTTTAACAATTTATGATTTTTACTTATTGAATACAGTAAAAAAAATTGCATATTTTACTTGTGGTGATTCATAATTAGAATTCTGATTTGAATATATTTTCCACTCGATGTTTCTAATACAAAAAATATTAACTTTATTTGGGTTTATTAATTTCATTACAAGTACTGTGTTCTTTCCTTAATAATTATCATCTTCGAAATATTGTTGTTTTTTGTCTATCAGATTTTTTACGTCGGTATTTTTAAATTATTTCTTAATACTTTCTTTTAAATATTGAATTAATTTCAAATAGAACCAATGCCTTATTGATCTGCCTTGTAACAAATTGCAAAGGGAATTGTAAAAACGGCCCTAAAATACGTGGAATTATCTTTCCCTAAAGATAAAGAATTATCCGATTTTTCGATTCGTACAACCAGTAGAGATCGTTAGATTATTGTTTAGGTTGACGGACACGCATGTTTTAGTACAAACCCAAACTCAAACAAAAACATTGTTTTCAATCGTTTTGATGAGTCCCCCGATTGAATAGAATTAGAATTGTATTATAAACAATTGTCTTGTAAATAGGAATTTTTAAATCATTCTGAATGTATAAATAAAGAAAAAAGTGTGCAAGACAATAAGAAACACTACCTGCCAAAAAAAAAGTGGATGTTTGTTTTATCGGCTGAAAAATGTAAGAAATCCGATCCCATATAGGAAAAACACACACACACACACACACACACACACACACACACACACACACACACACACACACACACACACAACCTGGGTTTTTTAACCTAAGTCACTCCACGGAATCGCTAAAACATAGAGCATAGTCTGATGAAAAAGACACCAAAGTTTATGAAAACAAAATTTTATCGTCAAAATGCTTATGTTTTTAATTATTTTTAAAAAATTTTCCATCTTTTTAGAATATTCTAAACTTTGATTTAAAAAACCTTGTTTCTCTTTGGCGCAACAAGGGTAGTAAATAACATAGATAATTTTAGCGTTTTTTTTTTTGTATTTACACACATTAATTTGGAAAATCTTGCAAAAATAAAAATAATTGTCAGATGTTAATGAAACTTTCAGAAACTATTCACAGATGATCGAAATTATTATAAATATGTTTTTTTTTATTAAAGTCATGGCAGAAATATTTTTTTTATATTTATTATCACCCTCATAACTAATTTTATGAAAAACTCTAGAAATTCGAGACCATCGGTTTTAGTGATTACAATAGTTAAAAGCACAAGTCTTTGAAGAATGCAAATCATGTTTTTTTTTTTTTTTTTATTTGGCCAACGTACCTGAAAATCAGCTGTGAATTGTAACATACAAAACTCAATAAAACAAATATATTATTTAGTTTCAAATGCTTTTATTTGTTTTAATTTGTTTTTATGAATATGGACAATATTTTCTGAAAGCAAAAAAATTTTTCAATGAAAATTGAATTTTTAATACAATTATTTCTTATTTCTTTAATTTTAAAAAGATTTTTAAAAAAAATTTAAATTGAATTTTGAAAAATATTTTAACATTAGTTAAAAGCAACATCAACCTTTCAAAATGTCCGTGTGAGATTGTCATTGTCTTAGCGCTTTGAAAATTGTATAATTTGGATTAATCAGATTAGCCATGGTAATTAAGAAATGTAATTTTTGTGTTTATAGTCGGACAGTAATTATCAAGTACGGAAGACCAACCAGAATACAATTTAGTTGCATTATTTGAGTTCAGCATTTTTCTCCGCTGTTAAGCCCTTTACTTTTGCGAAACACGTATGGAGAAGTTAATTTGAGTTTTTAATTTCAACTGAGAAGGGTACCTACAAGTAACAGTATCATCTTATGAAATTTAACTACTGCTAAACTTTAATTTATATGATCTTATTTTTATATTAATCTCAGTTATGACATTTTTCCATAAATGAAATATCAAAATTAATAATAAAATGAATGGAAATACAAATAACACAGTAAAATATAATAAATGTACATAAAATTATAGTATTTTATGTACACTTCTGATAAAATTTCATAAGAAAGGTACCTAAATTAATTAGATACCTTTTTCTTATGAAATTTAATCTCACTATTAACTGTCTTATTTTTTAATTTCTTTATATTTTCCATAAAGCATCGTAAACGTAAAAATGAAAGCAAAGTACAAAAAAATAAAAAAAAAATAAAAATAAAAATAAAAAAATTAGAGCGCTGAAAGTTTTCCTTAATAGTAACGAGGTAAATAATTTGTTCACTTAAATAATTTCACTTCCTTCCATCCGTAGAAAGAATTATCCTCCCGTAAGTTATCTAAACGTCATGAATATGCCTTTCATCAATCGTCAAGCGACGCGAAAGGTTATGACCTGCTTTGTTTTATTTTCAAATTACATTTTTTCGGCGCAGAAGCTAAGTTAAGCTTGGTTCAAAATATTTTAAATAAACAGTATAATTTCTGTTTTTATTAAAATCAGTTTTGAAAAAATGATAATTGATTTTTAAAAGAATATCAAAGTCAGATTTTAATCTTTTTTATCAAATCGAAAAAAATGATTGAAAATGATTGATTATCTGTCCTTTTTTTTGACCAAAAAAAAAAACAATATTTTTAACGAAAATTTCAGATGTGCTAGGAACGATTAAAAAATGTAAAAAAAAATACCCCAAAAATACTTCGATCTTTCCTCTTTAATAATAATATGAACATTAGACGATAAAATTTTGTTTTCGTCAAGTTCGGCTTTTTTTTCATCATGCTATGCTCTTTTGAATACATTTTCGTGGGTGAGTTGTCACCCTTTCATTCTCACGAGGTGTCTTAATCGTGTTTTCAAATTGATTTTGTTAAAAAAACAATTGTGTTTTTCCCATTTTCGGCGCCGTTAGAACCACCACAAGGTAATTTTATGTAGTCCTGTGAAGTTTTGTTGAAATCGGCTAAAAAATGTAGGAAATTCGATCCAATATATAAACGTTACACACACACACACACACACACACACACACACACACACACACACACACACACACACACACACACAATCTACGTTTTATAATAAGTAAAATACTTAAAAATCCCTTGGAAAATGGTTGCCCAATTAAACTGGAAATTGCATTTTCTCTAAGCTTTTTTGAACTGTTTTGCTAAAAAATGTTAACGGAGTACAGTTTTTAATCACAGCAAGAAACACACAAGCATACAGAAATAGGATCATTTATAATAATAATTGTACCATATATTAATGCTAATGGTAATATTAGCCGTTTCCCTATAAGGAAACATTTGATATTCATAGACTGTGCAGCTAGTCGTGCTTTCGGTTTAAATTTATAAAATCTTTCTCTTAAAACTATTTCTCAGGAAAATAGGTTTCTCAATTTCAGTAGCTGTTATAGCTCTTTCCAGTATTGATGATGGTTTCTTTTCTAACCTTTTGTTTTAAGTAGTGTGGAATGTCAACATCTGGATTATGTCATTATTTTCATTTTGAGTAGAGAACTTGGAGAGGGAAATTAACAGGAGATAACTGATAACTGATATCCTTTAGACATGGCACTTGGAACTAGAACATTCTACCCCATTGAGGGTTCAGTTCGACATTCCAACCACCTGAAGAAGGCCGGAGCGTACAACGACCGAAACGTTGTAATAAATATGGCGACAAAGATGAGGAAATAGTCCGAATAATGTAAATAATGTATTGCTGGTAATATTTTTTCAAAAATCTATTGTTAATATTCTTTGTCCAAAAATGTATTGCTGGTATTTTTTTTCAAAAACATCCATTATCTGCATAAATAATTTGAATCGAAGCAGCACTAAATGGGTGTGTTTGGATTCAAAGTTGTAGCAAGACGTCCGATTGCTACAAACCGGGATCGAAATATGACCGATTTGCGTAAAAGGTAAATTCATAGAAGATCAAGGTGGCGAGCATTTGACAATTGATTAATGATGTTTGTAAAAGTACTGGTTAAGAAAGCTAGAGAATCAGAAAGTGTCCGAGATCGCAAGAATTTTAAGAATCGACCAAGTGACAAAGCCATGTGTTAATTGTAAGTATGTTTGGCATAGGAAGATGTTCCGAGAGATACGCGTTCAATATGGAAAAATTTTATTTTTACTTTTCTCAAGAAACCGAAGATTTACCTAAGATCAAATCATAACGTGGATACATTAGACTTAAGATCGAAGGAGTTACTTCGGTAACCAGTCATTGGAAGTAAACTGAGAACGACGGAGCCTGGTATTGAACCAGTTGCATCTTGTGTGAAGCCGTTAGAATCAACCGACCATCCCATTTGGTACCCTCACCAAATGATCCCGCTTACTTAATTATATATATATATATATATATATATATATATATATATATATATATATATATATATATATATATACTCCTTGTTTTTTTCTCTCATATATGTTTGCAAGTGTGTGAACAACTGTTGCACGTATAGACTCCCTGCAATAAAGCGCTCAGCTAATCAGCGTATCTAGGACACATGGAAAAAGTTGAGGAAGTAAAAACACTTTATTCGAAGTAAAACGAAAACATCTCAGAATCTTTTATATACTAAAAACATTTTTTATTAACTAATGATAATTTGCCTCTTGAGTACGCGTTTCATAATTTTCTGAGGCAAAATTAAGGCAGAAAAAACATACTGATTTGGAAACTAGTATTTTTGAACGTCCATTTTGAGAAAAAGCTTATCGGAAGAAATTAAAAAAAAAAAGGAATGAGGCGCCATCTTAACGGCGTTCAATCTTGAGCCAGATTGGTCTCTCTGGTTTCATTATCATTGCTTGGGACAACTCAATTTTCTCCTGCAAAGATAAAAGAAAGAAAGTAAAATTATAAAAAATATATAAATGTAGGTACCTCTAAAGAAACATTATAAAGTTTCAAATGAATTTTTAAAAATCAAAAATCTTTCTTGAATCTTTTATGTTAACAGATTGACAGAAATTTATTGAATTTTTTTCTACGGGGATATGTTTGTAAAAATTACTCGAGGAATATAACGTGAACGCCGTTTTATATAATTTTTAACTAACAAGTAATTTTCAAAATGTAGGAAAATATTTTACTGAATTTTAATTAATTTGTCTATAAATTCACTGTAGTTATCTAGGTTTGTCAGTTATTGGCAAATACCTCTCTACAATTTGACCTATCAGTGCTAAGACGTCAGTTGATTTTTGATCGCATATTTTTGGAAAATATGGTATTTGAAGAGAATGAATGGAATCAAGCAAAATGCTGCGGAATAAAGTTTTTCATGCGAACTTTTTGATTAAATTTTTATTATTGGAAGTAAAACAAATACATTAAGACAAAAACCGAACTATTACTTGTTCCTGTTGCATAAATAAAAAAATGTATGACTTAAAATATATATTCTAGTTGATAAAATAGTGAGACTCCATGCCTTGTGGGCTTGTCGGAGTTAGCTCCTCCTTAATTCCCTAATTGTTCACTAGAGGTCGCTCTCCCTACACGATAAATACTGGGCAACTTCTTGCCTCATTCTCTTTTTCATTTCTTCATTTCAGCGAACACATCTACAATGTAAGCTCTCGCAAAAGATAGTGTTTCCCATTTGTGGGAGACGCCATGAACATTATACACACATACGTACGAACATTCACCAAAGAACAAACACAAATGTTCACACACACACAAATGTTATTGTCTATGTCCATTGTAAAATTGTGTTGTTTAATACATATATTTGTTTATATATATTAATCTTGTTTGTTTTCTTTTGATCTTCGTTTGGACACAACTAGAGTCCGGCATTTTTTGAAGTTGGACCTTCTAGCAGGAACAAACAGCACGTGTTCCTAATTCAACAACACTCAAACCCACACGGTCCTCTACAGGCTTTTTGGTGATGAATTACTTTCCACTCTGAAACTCCTTTCTCACCGGCGAGATGTCATAAGACTCTCGCTGCACTATCGCTATTTCCATGGTGAACTACACTCCTTAGTTCCACGACTAAGACCCAACATGCACATTGTAGCAAATCACCTTCCTATCCCCAGATAAGATCCACTCGAGCGCATTCTTTTCACGAACCACTGCCGTGTGGAATCGACACCCAAGAAGCTGCTTCCCCGATCACTACAATCTTAACCTTATCAAGTCCAAGGTTAACCGTTACCTTCCTCACATATCCACAAAAGCTCTGCCTCTTACTCTGTAACTATCTCGAGTGACGCTCGGGCCTTGTAAATTAATGTAAAAAAGGTCACTCGACAAGAGTTATTGGTAGCATGTAACCTAGTACTGTGTGTCACGTGATCGAGATATAAACGATTAAACCAGTTCCGCTAATAAACCTTTTTTGGTGAGGGTGAGACTAGACACCTAGTGTGATTAAGAACAAGACCTGTTAAAGGGCAGATGTAAACCTTTTTGTAGAGCCAACGGCCATCTGGCACGATAGAATAGACTGGGCTCTGTAGTTAAGCACAGCGCCAGCGTAGTGAGGAAAAATCGTTGGTTTGTGTGTATCTTTTAAATTGAAGTCAACAGCCAGAAGGAAGCGTTAATCTCTACATTCCGCCCCGATGGAATCAACGGCGAGCCTTCCTTGGAGAATATCGGCTGTAGTTTCATCTGCTGAGGGATAAACCATGTCAGGTGTTTCAATCCACATATGTGGCTAGAACTAGTTACCTGCTCAGCGTCACAACGATCACACCCGGTCATGTCACTGATGATGATGATGATGACGATGATGATATTGATGATGATAATGTTGAAGATGATATTTATTACTATCATTGTTTAAGAAACCCATTCTTGAAAGGTAATTGAAATTGGACAATGCCAAGTTATATTTACACGAGGATTCACATCCCAACCCACTTATAATCTGATCAATGACAAAGCATAACGTTTTGGTTTCGAATGGCTTGTTAGGCAATCGAATGAAAAATAAAAAGAATTAAAATAATGAAAAAAAAATCTTTTGAAAATTGACAATTCACTTTTGCACAACCTGAGACCAAATTTTATTTCACATGAAAATAATGAGTGAAGATTAAGAATACTTACTTCAGACTTGTTACAAACAAAAACGCGATATTTCCTCAACAATTGTACAGCGGCCAACTTGAATTCAAGTTCAGCCAATCGCTTTCCAGGACAGATTCGTGGACCATCTCCAAAAGGAAGATACGTGAATGGTATTTGTTTGGCCTTGTTTTCTTCACTGAAGCTGTAAATACAAAAACGGTGAACAATAACAGATAATATTTTTATTTCATATAAACATTTATTGAATGTGGATTTATTCATCGAAGCCATTGTCTTAGTTTTTTTCAAAAAGCGATTGACTCTTTTACCAAGGAGTGTGTTACGAAACGTCATTGGACATTTTAAAAAAAAGAAGCAGTTGTTTTTCTATGCGAGGAACGGAAAGAAAACGGTTTTATTTGTCTCGGAAACAATATTTGACAGACTTATGTAAGTCCGGTTAATAAAGACACAATTCATGGAAGTTAAAGAAACAAGCAACAATAAATGTATTAAAAAAACTTCTTGCTGAAGAGTAAAAAAAAAAAGTTAACTTCATCGGTGAACTTAGTTCCGTAGTGTGAATGCCCAGTTCGGAGTCTTGCAGGGCGAGGCTCACTCGTGATCTTCAACGTCTTTATTTGAATGTATGTTGTTTACAGGTAACCCGGTTTGCAACTCCTGACCATGAAAGTATTCTATCTAGAGGTTTACCATCTATTCAGCATGTTTTGATGGACACTGGAGAGGTTTCCTGGCTGGTGAACAAATCTTTGGATTGCGGCGTGTCCTCTTGTCTTCGCAGGTCCGGCGTGCTGAATGGTACCACAGAGGATAAGTCTTTTTGTTTAATTGGGGTTTATGCGCCCAATGACCATGTTGGGCGGACTGATTTGTTTCGGCGGACCGAGCTGTTTTTGACGACATCACGTCGGTTAGTTTTAGTGGGCGATTGGAATGCCGTCCTCGACTCAGACATAGATCGTAGAAGGGAAAGATCGGCTACTAACAACCGGGATGTGAAACCATTTCGGGAGTTTATTGATCTTTTCATCCAAGGAGGTACTGTGAACTTGGACGAATAGGGGCTCGGCTCGGCTACAGCGGCGCGTTCTAGCTACCTCGACAGAGTCCTAGTTAAGAGAGTCGATGTCGGGCTCTTAGGCTGTCCAAGTTTTCATTCAATAATTTACTTGGGTCATAGGCACGTACGGGTACGTGTAAACTTAAGGTTAGGATGGCTGGAAATCATCATTATTTGGTGAGCGAGATTTCCAAGTCAGACTGCTTCTAATGCTACAGTGGGAATTGACGGGGTCTGTGGTTGGGAATATGTGGGATAACTTAAAATCTAAAATTTGCTGCTGACTATTGTCGTCGACTCAATCTAGTTAGATTAGCAGTGCAAATGGTATGTGAGGAAAAAGTTGATCTGGAGATTAAATCCTGTGAAAGTGGGGAAGTACCTTTAGCTAGGGCAGCGTTGGCCTCCTTACTTATCAAGAAAGGTCAAGTTCTGGCATTTAGGCTGGTTTAAAAAGGATGTCTTCCGAGGTGACGAATATGGCCGCTGAATTGCGTGCAGAGGAAGTTCGAAATACGCCCCATCGACACTTCGCGTGTCACATTACCGGATAAACGGACCGTCACTACAAACGCGGGTCTATGTGAGGCTTTTCGTGATTTCTTTCAGGATCTGTCCACCAGGGAGCCCGGGCTGAGTACTGACTCAATTCAACGCCTATTTGGCTAGGTGGCTGAAGCGGCTGGGTGTGAAGGTCCCATCACAGGATCCGAAATCTGAGAAACGCTGAAGCTGGTTGGCCGGGAAAAATCTTGGAGATTGACATTTCTAGGGAACATAATGAGGAACGAGAGCTTGGAAAGTCTGATACTCACAGGGCCGATTGAAGGCAAGAGATACAGAGGATATCAACGCATAACATAGCAGGCTTGTGCAAATGGATGGCAGAACAAGAGATATATTAAAAAATCAAACTTTAGTAAGAGCTACAAAGGAGAGGAAATTTTGGAGAGCCATGATCACCTAAAACCTGAAGAAACATGGTACCAAGAAGAAGAAGAAGAAAAAGGAGGAGGAGGTTCATACTTACCGTTCAGGATTAAATTTTTGCGGTTCCGACCAGTACCTCTCATCATAATGCAAACTCCTTGTGGAAATAAGGATTTCCTGAGCCACTTGGAATTTTCAGCCCTTTTATGATACAGTCTTCTTTAGTTTCTCTTGTCAACCTGCCAAGGAAGGAAGATGGCAAAATAGTTAAATAGCTTCATAGTTGGATTTAATGCGAGGATGATTTCAATATACTGTATACAATTATATATATAACACACACACATGTAGGCCATCATATATAGTGTGTGTGTGTGTGTGTGTGCGTGTGTGCGTGTGTGTAATGCTCTGGGCCTAAAAATTGAAGGTTGCGTGCCTTTTCAAAACTCTCCCGTAATGATAATAATAATTTCATTTAACGTACGAGGATCTACCTCGAAACGTCCCCGAATCTGTGCGTCGTGTAATCCGATGCTCAAAGGTTGAACCAAAATGGCGGCGCACATGTTTTATGCCGGGCGGTCTAATCAGTTAACGCGAAATCTCGTTGTCTCGTCATTCGCATGCAAATTATGGTCGGTCCTCGGCTGTATAAAAGGCGGTTTTCGTTTCTGATCACTGGGTTTTTGCTCGTGAGAAGGTTGGACGTGTGATAGTGGTTTTGTCGGAGACCCTCCCCGAGTTTTCCTATCACTAGTATCAGTTGAGTCGTTGCTTGAGCTATTTCGGCAATGGACAAGTTCGATAAAATTGATCCCAGAATTTGACGGCTTCCCTTGAGACTGTCGTGAATGGTTTCAGAAACGGACGTGTTTGCAGGTGTCCAAAATAAAAAAAGAACCTGCACTGGTCATCCCCTGAGACTCACAAGGGGAAACCCGTTTATCAACAACTCCGGGGTGATGCTTAGTGCCCTATATACGGACCGACCCCTTCATCACTTGGAAACAGTTTGTCGGAGCTGAGCCGGGTGAAACGGTGGATGTCTACCTGACCGATTTGCGAAGGCTGGCGGTGCCGTTTCAAGCAACGGACCGTACTGAGATGCGCCTTCCTGGTAGGACTCCCAACAGCACCAGTCGGTTGCGAGCGTCTTCAAGATTTGGGAATTGACTTTGTATCTTAGTCATGGAACGTCCGACATTCCTGTAGCCCTGATCTAGGTTGGCTGTACATCAGGATCTTGACTGGTATCCTGTCATCGGGAGGCATTCTCAAAGAGATGACCAGGGACAAGGTGGACCAAATCTGTCTTTTTCTCTATAGATCGTTAGTGCGGTGGGAAGCGGAGAAGCAACGCACACGAGAACGAATTGCTATCACTGCAACGAGTTAGGCCATGCAGCACAGGATTCTCTGGAAACGAGTCCGGGGAAAGGTCTCGCAACCCTTGCCGCCTCTCAGTCAGTAAATGCGGCATTGCCTGTTAAACGTGAGCGTTAAGTGTAAACGATGTTCGGCGCTCGTCGAACTGGATGTTCACGATCGATCGTCTGTGCGGATCGATGCGTGACCTGTATGAAGTCAACAAATGAGATCGGACGATTGACGGAGTGTCGGGCCTATTTTGGTGTCGGGACTGTGTCAATCTCACAGACGGAGGAATCCTGTAAAGGTCGACGTTTGATGGCGTATCAAAGGCCCCTCGGTTACGACCTGCTGCTTGGGATCGATGCGATCCGAGCGTTGGGAGGCGATAATCGCGCCAGCCGGAAATGTGGAACTGGGTAAAGGAAGAAAGGTGTGCGCATCCTTTGCATTAGTGAGCCGGATTTCGACGTCTCCTTCAATCGACGAAAGTTGTGGACCGCCAGGTGGAAAATTGACCCACCAGTTAAGCTTCGCAACAAGGTCGTAGAGTACAATGTTCCCGACAGCATCCAAGATCAACAGTGGGTGAACAGCTGGTTGATTCCGTACCCCAGGAAAGACTGGGTAAAGGTCTGATCCTTGATGGCAGTCGCAGGAGCAGAAACAAAGGTGCGTGGAATTACCGCGAATTGAACGACTTTGTGGATGCTTTCCTGCCGATGCAAATAAAGTTGAAAACAGGTAGTCAATGTGTCGCTTCTGGATCTGCGGACACATATCTTCAGATTCATCGATATTTTCAAACGGTTACCAGTAAGCTCTGTATATTATTGTATTAACTCATATGGAAGAAATTTTGATTAGGATTTATCATATCCAAGACCATCATATCGCAAGATTTGCCACATGCATACGTTTGACATTTTCATTAATGAAAGTCTGGTCTCTGCATCGCGTGTACGACAACACTTTTCGGATTACGGTTTGGTGTGCAAGGAACCGGTGCGACTGAAAGATGGAGCAAAGAGTTCTTGGCTTGCAGGTCTGGGAAGAATATATATGGATATATAGTCATATTATATATATGTTAACCCGTCGGCGGGTATTTATTTAAACTTGTTGGACATTTGCAGTTGCATTCGTCAAGCACCTGACAACCGCAGCAACCAATGGATGGGATGATAACATCAAAATCCCTCTCTCTGTTGCATACTAGCGGAGATGTTAAGTAGGAACTGGATCCCATTGGAGGAGACTAGTGCATGGGGGACAAGATCACAGTCTGGGTGGATGCGAGTTCCGTGGCGACAGGAGTGGCATTGAAGCGAAAATGTCATCGAAGATGCGTGGTGGCTGCGTCCGACTAATGATGCCAGGCATATTAATTTTTGAACTCGATGCGGCGCTAAAGGAGTCAATCTAGCCCTCCAGTGGGAGGCGACAAACGTTCATAGTTACTGATTCGGCGTGTGTGCACCGGTGGATTTCCGACACCTTGACCGGGAACGGTTGAACCAAGGGCAATGGCGAGATGCTGGTTAGGCGACGGCTGGGCATTATGCGATCGCTGGTGGAAGAATATGGATTGACCATTTATTCGTACAGTCCTGTCAGAACCGTGCGGATCCCCTCGCAGAGTACCGCACAGGTGGCTAGATTTTAGAGGAGAAACGGCGCTCGAGCTGTGCAGTGGTAATAGACCCTGGACGAGAGTTAGGTGGCCAATACCCATCGTTAGCGGACATCCGGACATCAAAACTCGTAGTCGTCGCAAGTGTCAGAAAAAATTCAGAAAAAAAGCGTTAAATCCGTTGTGAAGTCCTGCACAACCTGTTGTCGATCGATCCGGCACCTGTTCACTGTGACTGAGCGTGAATTGCAACTGGAGCAGACTAGCGATTACTCACTTGGTGAGAATTTTTTATCGCTATTGATTGGTCCCTCAGGTTTGCGGTATGGCGGCCGCTGCGGACAAATGACGTCATTCGACTGTTGGAGAATGTTTTCCTGGAGCGAGGTTGGAAATACTGACCGACAACGATACTGCATTCACCCGTAGGGACTTTAAAAATTTGCGGACATTTGGGACGTGCATCTGAGTTTGCGATGTGCCTTTTCTCGCCAAGTGGAAATGGCATCGTGGAGCGAAACCACAGAAGAGCAACCATCGCAGCCAAAAAAGTATCGGAGGCGGTTTACTGGTATAATGTCGGAAAATAACGTTTCACGGTCCACAGCGCCGGCTGATGCACTGAGATCATGTCCTAGTGAAGGCATTGAAGCCAACCCGCTGCCTGAACTAGAAGTGACCGGAGGAGATTGAAAAAAGGAGATGTTGTTTGGGTCAAAAACTCACGCGGCAAGTGGACGAAAAAGTACAGCACTGGACGATTCAGGTGATTAGCCCGCAATCTGTGAGAGTTGATGGGGTGCCTCGTCACATTAAAGACTTGCGACCGGTGATGCAATCGCTATCGTTACTGAGCGATTAAACGATACAACTGATCGAAGTGAGCGTTCGACCCTGGAGTTAAACCTGCAGGGCAGTGATTCTGATAAAAAGCCTCCCGGCGGACACAGCGTTTACCGACACTCAAACCACAGACGAGCAGCATGAAGATGAATGTAAGGGGACTCGACAGTGACGATCGCCACCTCGCCCGTTTGGAAGTGGACACTGAAAATTACCTCGGAAACGCACGCGAATCTGTGCGTCGTGCAAACTCCGATTGCTCAAAGGTGAAAAAAATGGCGGCGCCCATGTTTTATGCCGGGCGATCTTGGACAGTTAACGCGAAATCTCGTTGTCTCGTCATTCGCGTGCACATTATGGTCGGTCCTCGGTTGTATAAAGCAGGCGCGTTTTTGTTTCTGAGGACTGTGTTTTTTGCTCGTGAGAAGGTTGGACGTGTGACACTATTTTGTCGGTTACCCTCCTCGCTTTTTTCTATCTGCTACTATCAGTTGAGTCGTTGCTTTACCACCACAGTTGCCTAATATACCCTGCAAGTTGATGGTAGAAATTACGGTTACAGTTAGTAATTTTAACATTAGAATGATGAGACCTACCTGCCAATCTAGTACTGCGCTTAAATTAATGAAGTCGGTGCATCAAAGAGAACCATGAAAATATTTATCGAAAAAGGCACAGGGGGACTACATTACGAAAGTTCATCTCGCTAAATTCGCTACTTTTGATGTTAACATGATTTGAGCATATACGCCGTCGGGAAAGGTTAATTACTTTTGTAACAAGATTTAGATGTGTCTAATAATTTGCCCCAAAAATAGCAAATCATGATAAAAAAAGCCCCCAAACTTAATAAAAACAAAGTTTTACCATGAAAAAGTTTATGTTATCAATAATAGGAAAGACCAAAATGTTTTTAATTACTTTTTGAAATTTTTTATTCCTTTCTAGCACGCTTGAAATTTGGGTTGAAAATTTTTTTTTTTTTTTTTTGTCAGTGGCCGCGTAATATTGAGCATTAGTTTTTTTTAGCGCTTTTTCCAGTTGAAAAACATTAATTTGGAAATTCTTGAAAAAATCAAATAATTGTCAAATTTTAATAAAACTTTCAGAACGTATTTAAAAATGAAGAAATATATTTTAGAAATGTTTGTTTTTTAGAAAGTCATGGTAAAAATATATTTTTACATTTATTATCCCCCCCCTTCCTTTATTTTATGAAAACTTGAAAACTCGAATATGTATAACTCTATGACATTTTAAATTAAATTCAGAAAACTTTGAAGAATATAAATAATCAATTTTTATGTAATTCGCCACATAGATCTACACAAACTTTAGCTCTGAATTAAAAAATACTAAACTCGATAAAACTAAGACATTATTTAATTAAAAAAGCTTTTAATGACTTTTATGAACAATATATACGAAGGACATTTTTGTCTGAAGCCTAAATATATTTTTGATAAAAAATGAGTTTTTACAAGAATTGTTTTCTTTTTTCTTCAATAAATAAAAAATGTGAAAAAATGATAAATGCTTTAAAATGAAGTTTGAATATGTACATTTCTGGGAATGCTCTTATTAAAAGGTCTATTTTTACAGATCATAAATTAGAAAGCTAACTTCAATCTGATACATTCATCTATTTCTAAAATAATTTTTTAATATGAGAAAAAAGTATTAAAATCGTCTCCGACAAAACTACAGAAGCACAATCCTGAAAAAATGTTAAGTGTGCTAGAGTTATTTCCTCTGATAGCGAGGAATCATTCCTCATTATTGGCATGACTCTGAGCATTAGGTTGGAGGTCTTGAGGAGCGCGAACCACCTTTTTGTTGCCGTTGTTCCCAGGTCTACCCTGACCCGTGATGGTAGTACCCGTTAGGGTTCCAACTATGGGCAAATATGAAAAAAAAAACTCATTTCATAAATGATTTCCCTGTTTCATTTATGAAATGTAATGGTATTTTATTTAATTTTTATATTGTCTCAGGAAAAAAGTTTCATAATCGAGTCAATATAAAACATAATAAAAAGCATACCATAAAATTTTAGAATAGATGTACATAACAATTAGGTTACTCTTTTTTGTCTGTTATAAAATTTGAGTTCTAAATGTATGTTTTTGTATTTTAAATGTTATTTTAATTCCAGAATTCTTCTTCATACGGAAAGAAAAAAAATTGAAAGTGTATTTTTTTTTTAGTTAACTTTATTAACCAGATTCACTTAAAATTAGCACAAATTTTGTTACTTCTGTCCTACCATCCGATAAATTCCCCTGGCATAAGTTGTCGATACATTGACGGACGTCAATTCATCCCCCTCCCCACAAACCAATCACCGCGGTTGGACATGACTCTCTGAAAAAATTTTCTGCTAAAAAAGTAAGTAATGTTGCTTTCAAATTACATTAAGTATACTTTAAATTTTCTAATTTTTCTAAAATAACTTTTGAAAAAATATAATTATAATAAGATTTTTATACGGAGAATTATACTTTTGTTTAAAAACCTGTTAATAATGGTTGACATGAGTGATTTTATGTAAATTTTGATAACTCAAAAAAAAAAAAAATAAAAAAAAAAATAAAAATCCAAAAAAACAAAATTTTTAGCTAAAATTTCCAATGTATCTTTGAGTTTTTAAAAAATTTTTTAATCCTTTCTAGGATTAGAAAAATCTGAGTATGCTCTTTTTTTTGCGAATTTTTGGACATACCTACAAGATATTTAAAAATAATACAGCAACATTATCGAAAAATACTGGCTTACAGTGTACCAACTGGATACATTCGCAACGTCTCCTCCATACACATCCGAAGATATGTCAGCTTCTGCACATTATCATAATTTGGAGATTCCTAGAAAACAACAAGAATATCAGTCTAAATGTAAATTCTATTGGCTTCAAAAGCGGGGGGGGGGGTCATCATTCAAGAGTCATTTCGGCAAAGCAGGAGAAGTTAAACCTTTTCACCAATAATCTATAATTATTTTTACCGTCTTACAAATAGCAGCGGGCAAAATGGTGCCTGATAAAATGAATTTTGCTTAAGACTAATTCCCGTTCACCAAAGACGTGGATATATCTCTACTTCCCTTAGTTAAATAGCAGGGCAGAATGAGTTTTCTAGCTTTGAGAGGCAGAAAGAAGTACAAAATAATGCCATGAAGTGTAAAAAAAAGCATTTATTGTATCAAAGATTTTTTGATCATTCACGACAACAAGCTTGACCTCCACTTTTCCATTAGATCTTACATGGGATATCACAGGGTATGTCTGCTGCCTGTGCACATCCATAACTCATCAAAAATAATCGACTCTCATACATTTGGTATTCATTCCTTGATAATTATAATATATTCAACAACTTTAATAAAAGATGTTGGAACTATGTAAAAAATTGTTTTGAAGTCTAAATTAATCATTTAAAATTTGACAAAATTTTTCAAAGCAAATTCATGTTATTGATGTTTAAGTGCTTTGCATAATAACTTCAGACAGATTTTAAATGGTTATTCATTTTTTCGGAAATTTCAAATAAAATAGGCTTAAGTTCCTTCTATTAAGTTATTTTAAAAAAAGGTATTTTTTGGCCAATTGCATGCTAATTTTGCTATTTTTTATAGACTTCATCTTTAAGAAACACATTTTTTAAACTTTGATTTGGAAACATCCACTTCAGTCTATAATTACTAAGGTTTTAGAGCAGTTTTAGATATTAGCGAAATTCATTGATAATCCACGGAATCTGTTAAAATCAGGAAATTCTATGAAAAAAATTCTGATTCTTTCAATCAGAAAATGATTTCTAGAAATAAAGATAAATAAAGATATAAATAACAAAACACGCACAAAATGTAAAGATTCCAAATTTGAATAATTAAAAGATTTGACGTATCCAAATGTTTCCTGTGTTTCTTGTTAGAATTTCTACTGATTATCCAGATTGATTGTTCTAGAACTAATAAAGAAGTATAGGGTGGAAGCTGTAGTCTTAAAATCTGGCAAGAAACCGGATTTGGATAATTCATTTAATTAATCCTGATTCTTTAATTATGAAGAATGGTGACAAAAACAAAAGCGGATTATTATGAGATTCAGAGTCTTGGAGAATATAAAATCTTTTACCTCTCCCAGATTTTCTTGTATTTCTTTATAAAGTCTCTCCTGAATTTCAGGATTGAATGCTATAGAGTGAAAAAAGGTGGAAAGTGTTGCTGATATGGAATCGAAGCCGGCGACAAATAAAATGACAAACTGTGAAATGATTTCTAAATCTGTAAGACCTGAAAATGAAAATTCAAAAACTTGGCATCAAGAAAAATATAAAAATTAATTTTCATTTGTAATATTCATAAAATATACGTGTTATAAGCATTATGAATAACAATATCATGTAAAAAGAATAGACAGGCACATCAATATCGATATGAGTCATATATATAGGAGTGATAATTAAAATCATTGTTATGTTCATGGATTCTTTGCGCATGCTATAAATTGATATCTGACCTTTCAGAAGACATAAGTCTTAAATTTAACCTGCTGCTGCTGCCGTTTCTAAATCTCATTCCGCGAAGGTGTGAAGAACACGAGAGTCACGTTTTCCCTCCAGTTGTGGGAAATAAGTAATATATATACTTTTCAACCAAGGTTTGGATAACAATAATAACCCCTTCACCACTTCCGCAAATTAAAGAAAAATATTTTTCGCGAGCCAGTGTGAAATTATTTTCTAATCAATTCACAAAAGTTCATACCTCTATGTGAAATTAGATTTTAGATCCCCCATAGGTTTAGAAAACAGAGGCAAATTGCTTCTCGGTGTTCAAAACAATGTCCGTACACACGCAACACATACACGCACACAATGCAAGAGATGAGCTTGCAAACGCCAACTAATGCTTGGTCTATACACTGACAGACACAGTATGCTGACCGTCATAAAATAAGTCTGTACATACGTCTCGCACTGATCTATGAAGAATTAATTACTTTATGAAACAAACTGCAAGAAAAATTTAATTGTTATTCTGTATTTCGAAAAAGAAAATAAATGTGATTTCAACTGACGTTCTGCTTCTCTCTTTTCCTTCAGAGATCATACATTTTATGTTTCATTTAAAAGATCTGCTGTTTCTAAATGTTTGGAATCCTGACACTCAGATAAAACAAAAACCTGGAGAGACGGATCCCAATACAACAGCTATAGTCTTAGTAGTGTAACGGAACATCCTCCAGCACCAAATTGATCTACTTGAGGCTTTTCCAGCGTCCGCATTGTCTGCCGTGTGGTCATCACCACTGTGTAGTCTGTTGGCCATCAGCAGTTGTCCAAGGTTTCAATCCAGGAGTTAAATTCATTGAAGACCTGTCCGTTTAAATTCTCTGGTATGTACCATAAAATTAGAAACACCTACTTGCCATATTTACACCAAACTTGTCACTGATAGAATATTGTTATTAGTAGAAGCGTTCCGAGCTTATGAAGCGATTAGCCATGGGGAAATGAAAAGAAACAATAGAATTTTTCCAAAAATTTTTTGCTAGGTATCATAACAAAGGAAATATTCACTTGCCATATTTGCATCAAACCTGTCTCCGATCATATATGGTTATTATTGAAAATATAGCACATTAGAAGCATTCTGGACGCATAATCTATTAAGTGATTTGCCTTGCTCAAATCAAAAGAAACAACTGTCGAATAAAATTCTCCGGCAGGTATTGTAAAAATGGAATAATTCACTTGCCATATTTGCATCAAAATTTTCTCTAATCAGATATTGTTATCATTGAAAATATAGTGCAGTAGAAGTGTGCTGGGCTCATAACATGTTGAGCGATTAGCCATAGTCAAATGCAAAAGAAAAAGAACTTTCCAATAAAATTCTCTGCTACGTATCATAACAATGGAAACAGCCACTTGCCATAATTGCATCAAACCTGTCTCCGATCATATTTGGTTATTATTGATAATATAGCACAATAGAAAAGTTCTGGGCTCATAACCTATTAAGTGATTTTCCATGCTCAAATGCAAAAGAAACAACTGTCTTATAAAATCTATGGTAAGCATTTCAATAATGGAATGATTCATTCGCCATATTTGCAATAAACCTGTCTCAAATCATATTTGGTTATTATATAATATAGCACATTAGAAATGTTCTGGGCTTATAACCTGTTAAGTGATTTGCTATGCTCAAATACAAAAGAAAGAAGTGTCCAATAAAATTATCTGTTAGGTATTTCAACAATAGAATCTAATCAGATATTGTTTTTGAAAATATTATGCAGTATATGTGTCCTGGGCTCATAACCTGTTAATTGATTAGCCATGGTCAAATGCAAAAACAACAACAAAACCTTCCAATAAACTCCTCTGGTAGGTGTGATAACAATGGAAAGATTCACTTGACCTATTTGCATCAAACATGTCACTAATCAGATATTGTTCTTGAAAAATATAGTGCAGTATATGTGTACTGGGCCCATAACCTGTTAAGTAATTAGCCAGGGTCTAATGCAAAAAACAAAACAAAAAACAACAGAACCTTCCAATGAAATTCTCAGGTAGGTGTCATAACAATGGAAAGATTCACTTGCCATATTTGCATCAAACTTGTCTCTAATCAGATATTGTTTTGGAAAATATAGCGCAATATATGTGTGTTGGGCTCATAACATGTTAATAGATTAGCCATGGTCAAATGCAAAAGAAACAACTAAACCTTCCAATAAAATTCTCTGGTAAGTATCATAACAATGTAAATATTCGCTTGCCATATTTGCATCAAAATTTCCTCTAATCAGATATTGTTATTGAAAATATAGTGCAGTATATGTGGGCTGGGTTCATAACCTCTTAATGGTTTAGCCATGGTCCAAAGCAAAAGAAACAACATAACCTTCCAATCAAATTCTCTGATAGGTGTCATAACAATGGAAAGATTCCCTTGTCATATTTGCATCAAACTTGTCTCTAATCAGACTTGTTAATGAAAATATAGCGCAGTTTATGTGTGTTGGGCTCATAACCTATTAAGTAATTAGCCATGGTCTAATGCAAAAGAAACAACAGAACCTTTCAATGAAATTCTCTGATAGGTGTCATAACAATGTAAAGTATCACTTGCCATATTTGCATCAAACTTGTCTCTAATCAGATATTATTACTGAAAATATAGCGCAGTGGATGTGTGCTGGGCTCACAACCTCCTAAGCAATTAGCCATGGTCAAATGCAAAAGAAAAAGAACTTTCCAATAAAATTTTCTGCTAGGCATTATAACAACTGAAAGCACCAGTTGCCATAATTGCATCAAACTTGTCTCAGATCTATTTGGTTATTATTGATAATATAGCGCATAAAAACGTTCTGGGCTCATAACCTATTAAGTGATTTGCCATGCTCAAATGCAAAAGAAACAATTGTCAAATAAAATTCCCCGTTAAGTATTGTAACACTTGAATTATTCAGTTGCTATATTTGCATCAAATTTGTCTCTAAACAGATATTGTTTTTGAAAATATAGCACAGTATTAGTGTGCTGGGCTCATAACCTCTTAAGCGATTAGCCATGGTCAAATGCAAAAGAAACGAAAGAACCTTCCAATAAAATTCTCTGGTATGTGTCATATCAATGGAAAGATTCACTTGCCATATTTGCATCAAACTCAGATAATAAGATAAGAAGCGTGCTGTGCTCATAACCTGTTAAGTGATTATCCATGGTGAAATGCAAAATAAGTAACAGAACTTTTCAACAGATTTAACAAAGTTTCAATAAAAAGAAAAAGATAAAGGTCAAAGATAAAATTACATCAAGCACTCAAGCAATCAGTATATGAAAATTAGCAGTTAAGAGGCCTAAAATATCACAAATAATTGGTATTGACACACAAAAGGAAGGTCGGAAATCATGTAGACAAGCAGAGTCATGTCAAACTGCAAACAGTCCTATTTTCTTGGCTAAGAAAATATCCCAGCATGCATCTGTGGACTTTTGCATATAAAATCGGAGGGAGAAATGTTTTGCAGCCATTCCAACTACAAATTGTTATCAACAAGGAGAAGTAACGTTAAGAGTAATATCACTGTTTCTAATGATATCATTTAATTGGATTCTGTGTTAATATTTATTCAAAGTGCGTTTGCTGTCGTGCCAAAACCAACCAGAAAGAAAATCATACACCGAGAAATGACGTCCACATCTCTAAGACCTAAAAGAAAATTGAATCCAGTATGTGTGTTCTTATATATGTTTGTGTGTTTGTGTGATATAAAAAGATGCTTACAAAAAGATTTTTTTTACTATGAACCGGTTGTATTTTATAAACTTCGTAACAGAAATCTCTATGAAGCACATGACTGCATGAAGCATCGTCGCCACCCATAGATTCAAACATCTTTCCATTTACCTGTTTGAGTTCAAGAACTGTGACAGAAATGTTTACGATGATTCCTGCACTACCTGCACAAAACGCAAACGAAACTATGGCAAGCCCCGTAACTGGCCCATCGGTCATCTTAAGCGAAGCAGAAGACCATTCGGGGTTGTCTACAAAGACCCGATACAGGTTGGAGACAACTTTCGTCAATCTCAATCACTCCTAACCCACTCATCACATTTACCTTGGGTGGGTAACTTGTTATTACTTTTCACTGGAACTCCAGAGAAACACAATAGTAACAACGAAAATTGCAATATGAGATCTGGTAAAAAAAAAAAATAAAATAAAATGATAACAGCAAAAATTGCAATATGAGAACTGGTTAAAAACGATTGCTGATTTTAGGCCCGGATAATGTGAGATCACCTTGCCAGAGAATTATGCTTTAATAACCAAATTGCGTTTACCTCTTTTTGTTCTCCAGTCTGTAATATTTTCCAGTTTGAGTTCTTGTTCAGTTTTCGTGTCCAACTTTTCATGGCCTTCAAGTTGAGAATCCAACATCAGTTGAAGCAGGTCTTTATACATCTGCAATTTTATATGACAGAAACTAAAATCACGAAAGACATATGTTTCTTGAATGTCTCTTGCCATCATGTCCCCTATTTTGACATGCTTTAATGATGAAATTTCTTTTGTATTAAAAGATAAAGTCACTTATCTTTTGGGATAAGAAGAACAAGGGATTAAGTAAAGAAACTAGAATAAATATTTAGATAATAGTTATCAAGGAAGTAAGAAGTCAGAGGGAAGTTCCGCAGGTGATTGGTGCGAGAAAAGAAACTGATAGAGTAGAAGTGGTGGTTGCATCTAGCGGCAAAATGATGAGAGTTACCAATCTAGTAGCACGCTTAAATTTAGGCTGTCGAGGCACAAGGGGAAAATGTCATCAGAACATTTACCATGAAAATATTTGTAGAAAAGGCAGAGGGAAGCCACATCACATCGGTGAGAAAGCGACTGAAGACAAGATGCCTGGTCAGGATTGATTACACTACAGACCTTTCTTTGGATCCTATCAAGAATTTTGAGATGTACAGCAGGAGCATCAAACCAAATCTATCAACAGTATTCAATTCACCGACGAATGGTAGATTTAAAAATATGCAAGATAGATTCTAACGAGAAAGACTTTCGGTTTCAACAAGTTTCCTATCAGTAGACTTAGTAATTGATTCAATCTGATCCATTCTATGTCAGTGGAAAACGTAAGGCCTAGAAGACGTAGTGTGTTGCTCCCCTGGAGTTTAGCATCAGCCATATTGATGTTAGACAGAAAAAAGTTTTCTGCAGTGATTAAATGAAGGCAATTTTGTTTTGGATGCGTTAAAATTTACAACCATTTCCTGCTCCAGTTAATCATTCATTAGAGGTCCTTTTCAGGATCAATTTATATTGTTTGGTATATTGCAGTAAATTTTTGTGTCATCTGCATAAATATGTATTTGGGAACTGATGACATCATCGATGAAGATATAAAATCAGTGAAGGTTCATGGATAAAGCCCTGGGGTACGCCTCATTAGTATGAAATGATCTGGCAGCATGTCCATTCAATACGACATTCGTTACATAATTTGTTACGAAAGATTGCTTTAAGCCATATATTAATCCAGTGAATATTGAGCTTGCGTAGAAAGCCAGTATGCCAAACCCTGTCGAAGACTTTCGTGATATCTAGAGCCACAACCCGAGCTTTTCCATTCTTATCTAAAGCTTGATAAACAAATTCAGTGACAGCCGTCAACACATCAGTGATAGACCTGTCGAAACGGAAGCTATATTATTTGCCCGAAAGGCGATCATGAGAAGTAAGATGCTTAACCAATTAGGTATTGATTAGAGCCTCAAGTATTTTGATGAAAAGTGGTAAGAGACTAATAAGGTAATAATTCGAGGGGTCAGAGCTTTCCCCAAAGATTTAAAAAACAGGAACTACTGAGGAGGACTTTCAACAAGCTAGAAACCAGGAAGCAACGAGTCATTGTTTGTAAAGTTTGGAGAGAACAGGGGCCAGGTCAGGAGCACATTTCTTTAGGATGACTACAAGCACCCTATCACACCAGTTTGCCTTGTGGGGATCTAATTTAGAAATGATATCAGAAACCAATGACGTGGTTATGAGCACATCACCTTCGTTCTGGGGGGGAAATCTGGCAGAGGTACTCCAGAGGAGGAGAGTGGAATTGGAAGAGAACTTCCGAGCAAAACACTCTACCTTGTCTGCAGTAGATGTCAATACTTTAAATTGGTTGAAAACAGACAAAATGAGTCGCAATCAGAGCGTTGTTAACAGAAAGTTGTTCTTTTAATAAGAATCTCAGGACTGATGGGAGAAGAGAAAGATATATCTATAGACATTACAACTTGATAGCAGTTGGCAAGAGGACAGAGCTGCAGAGCACAACATGAGTCTGGGGGTGGAGGTCAAGTAGAAAGGCTTGTCCATCAGAATTACTGGGGAAACGCGTGGGGAAGTCTACTATTTGAGAGAGAGAGAGAGAGAGAGAGAGAGAGAGAGAGAGAATGATTGAGTAATAGAGTTCAGGGCTAGATGCCAGTGAGGTCAGTGGCATTAAAGTGTTTAAGCCACCTGACATGGTGGGCACTGAAATCGCTGAACACAAAGATATTTGCAGACGGGTGTAGACAGAGAAGGCCTTATCTATACTGTCATAAATTCTATCTAGCACGCAACAGTCATGAGAGGAAGGGGAACGATGAGAAGAAGGAGATAGCTGATAGAAGATAGAGTTTAATAGTGGAAATTGGAGGCACATTTAAGAAGAGTCTGGAGATTCAAGAGAGTCTTCATTTGTCAGTGGAAGATGTTCCTGAACATAAACATCAAGGCCATACATGTAGACACGAGGGTCTTTCCGAAAGAGAGGAAGATAGCCAGGAATAGAGAATTCAGTGGCAGAGATTGATGAATTCAGATTAATTTCACAGATAGTAGGGATGTCTGGTGAGTGTTCCAAGAGGAACAATTCTACACTGCAGAAACTGGTATGAATAACACGAATATTGGAGAAAGAAACATAGAGGAGTTTAGATGTTATTTTAGTAAGCTGGTTTATTTGTATTGGTTTTATTGTTTTTGGTCATGGTATATTTTCTGAAAGTGGAAAAGTCCAAGAATAATAGTAGCTGCTAGTTATCTAAGATAATATATACTGAGAATTGGCGCAGATTGTAGCATACTCTGGCCTCATGGTTGTCTCCCGGAAGTGCATGCATGGACACCTTTTTATGCGCGACATGGCACTGCAAAAACTCCAATATTGTGTGACTGTTGATCAGAGCAGCCTCTCTAGATGCTATCAAAGTGTTCAGACTCCTAACTACAAGTCAGGGCGCAACAATGAGCAAGTTACTCTCAGTATGAGGAGTAATGGCTATCATCCAATCATATCACTAAAACTCATGACAGCCACGCCTTTTAAGGCTTCAGAAGAAACCGGAAACCCCATCCTAAATAGGAAACAAATGATAAGCCTCTACTCCCTTTCAAAAAAAAAAAAAAAAAGTAAAGATTATAGCCTTGGCGATAGGTAGAACTATTTAGTCTTGTTAAAAAATATTCCAGATGAACTTGCTAGTCTATTTCTTAAAATATTTTCGTCTCACTTTTCAAAATATTTCAACTGAAAAAAATTTTGTATTAGAACATAATGGTACTTACGCTTGTGTTTTTCACTTTTCTTCTTTCTTTGAGCAATTCCTTACAATATTCAACAAAATAGGTCATTTTACCAAAGAATACACCCTTTTTGAACCACTTGGCAATAATTGCAACAGTAGGGAAAATGGCTGGAAGTCAAATAAATATATAAAATATTAAATTTGTTTTATAAAATGGAATCAAATAAAATGAATAAAAGCATTAAAAAATCTAAAACCCCCAAGCAAGGCAATAAAGTCACTAACGCGCGACAGGTTACTGAATGTGAAACACATGAGAAAAAGAAAAACATTATTAAGGGGAGAGAAGAATAAAATAGCAGGAATTAAGAAGATAAAAGAAGATTGCATTTATATTTTTGAAGGTCAAAGTTCAGTGGAAGGCATGGAACAGGAATAGAGTTCCACAAACGAGAAGTGCGAGAGAAGAAACTGTTAGCATAGAACTTACGGTTACATATTGTAATTTCAATTGTAAAATGATTTATTGCTTTATACAATGCAACTAATGTCATTCGGAATTTTTAAGCTGAAATTCTGAGAACAGGATTTTTGAATTAAGATTATATTCTTATTAAAGACATAAAATAACTCCTTGAGGAGGCACGGTGGAGTAATGGATAGCGGCTCGGATCGAGTAATCGGGGAGTCGATTTTGAATTCCAGTGTAATTCAATCCATTCCCTTATGTGCTAATAGCCTTGGGGAAAGGCATGAATCCTCTTCTTCTCCCCCCAACTATGGGTAAATAGCATAACAGACCGTGTTCTATAGCCTAGGATGGCAACTGGTCAGAAAGAAATGGCAACCTATTGCGGGAAAAAATCTGCCTCCTCAGTCATGTATCGAAAGATGCATGATCGCCTAAGCGTGTATCACGCATGGCACGTAACTGACTGACTGAACTCCCCATTGGCTCTATCAAATAAAAACATCTAATTAATATTATTTTCTTTTAACCTATTCATTATAGAATAACATTGTCCTTGTGAACATTAATCACATGCATTACAATGAGAACATGACTTTTTATGTTACTTCTATGGCAGAAGCTGCGAAATTTATAAAAAGTCACCTGCTAAGATTTTCAAGCATTTTGGAAAACAGGGCTGCCAGGATTTTCATTACAATTTTACTTTTTTTTTTTCTTTTTTTTGGTTTGTTTGTCTATGTCAGGGGGAGGCACGGTGGAGTAATCGAAAGCGGCTGGAACTGAGGAATCGGAGAGCCGAGTTCGAATTCCAGCCATTACATTCACTTACGTGCTAATTAATACCCTTGGGAAAAGTATGAATCCTTTTCTTCTCCTCACATAAATTAATAACAGGACAGACCGGGTTCTATAACCTTGGATGACAACTGGTCTACCGCAGAAAGAAATGGAAAACTACTACGGGAAAAAAAATCTGCCTCGTCAGTCATGTATTGAAAGATACATGATCGCCTAAGCGTGTATCACGCATGGCACATAACTATGTCATGAATTACGTGTCGATACTTATATAATTCAGTCTAATCAATCACATGTAATGTGGAGAGCAGTGGGGCATCAAGTAAATATATTTATATCAAGAAAAGCCATTGAATCCCAATAATATTCTAATCTAGTTATTGGTGTGATAGTAAATGTTTGTGTTACAACAAACAGATGATTATACAAATACATACTAGCTACAACCTGTAAAGATGCAAAAACGTTTGAAACAAACGCTTCCTTAGCATTTTTGACAAGAGGGCTTTCAGGATTTTCTTGGGAATCGACTTTAATTCCAAAACCAGTCGTAGCAATAACATCCATTGTAAAGCCGGAAAACAAACTGGAAAAAAGAAAACAAGATACTTTGAACAACAAACTGAGAAGGGACAATCATTGGGTTGGTGCATAATTATCAGGCGTTTTTGTAGGCGATTTATTTGTTAATAAAAATTGATTTGTTTACTTTTTAATAAAAATGTTACTTTATGTCCATGTTATAAAAATGCATTTCGATAATAATACGCCCTTAAATACGCATTTAAATATGTTATTGTTGAATTATTATGTTTCTTTTTTCACAATAAATATTGTTTAAAAACGCCTGATAATTATGCACCAACCCAATATATTTCGATGGTTGTTTATGTGAAGCAAGATTTTACGATTTAGTCCATGCATTCTTATTCATTTGGAGTAAAGATTGATATTATTACAAAAGGAGAGACAAGAGGCAAATGCTTAAATATAGATTACTAGGGAAAGCCATATTTCTTATTTGTTCTGTATTCTAAATCCTTGAAAAATATAAGAAACAAAAATTTATAACTAGACTAGCAATATTTCACACATGCACATAAATGTACTATTCTTTTGTCTCTATTTTCTTATTCATGTGTAGTAACAATTTATATTCTGAAAAAAGGAGAGACAAAGGGCAAGTTCTTAATTGATATTAGAAACAAATATGTCTTCCTAGAGTAGCAATATTTCACACATGCATACAAATGTTCAATGCATTAGTCTCTATTTTCTTGTTCCTTCGTAGTAATAATTTACATTCTTACGAATGGAGAGACAAAAGGAAAATTCTTCCTAAATATTAGATTCAAATATGACTCCAGAGAGCTGCAATATTTGCACATACAATCCAAGACTTTGTCACTTTGACTTGGTGTAGTAATTTGGAATCTTTCTTGTTACCTCAAATTACTACTGTGTTGCGATATCAGTTCTCCCTATGTGCTCTGAAATTGCGACCTTGTTTGACATCTAATCTGTCTAGGAAATTGCTATGTGTAAAATCATAAATACGGTGAATAATGATAAAACAGGTATTATTTTATAATCGCTGCTTTTGTACTAATTCCCCAGAACTGAGATAATTATTGAGTATTTGTAAACCTAGAAAATTTTGCTTTTCTTGCGTCAATGCGGTACCATAAATCAGTGTTGGAAATTTTAGTGTATTTTTGCGGTGTAAAACTCATTGATTTGGAAATTCTTGCAAGAATCATAAAATTATCGTACTTTAATGAAACTTTCAGGACATTCACAAATGAATGAAATTATTTTAGTGGTCTTTTTTTTTTTTTTTTTTTTAGAAAATCTTATTAATTTTTTTTTACGTCTTTTACCCCCCACCACACACTTATTTTATTTCATGAAATTTGGAGAAATTCATTTTTGAAGTGCTTAATTTTTAGATTAGTTATAAGCACATATCCTTGGAGAATTTAAATAATCAAGACATCTAGTTACAGAAGATCTCTTAATAGTAGAATAAAAATTGCAATAAGACTAAAGCACTATTTTGATTATTCGGTCCTCATCTTTGTTGCCATATTTATCACAAAGTTTCGGCCGTTGTATGCTCCGGACATGTAGTTGGAATGTTGAACTGAACTCTTTATTTCGCTCACTGGGTTAGACTGTTCTAGTTCCACGTGCCATGTCTAATGGATGCCAGTTGTCAGTTATCCTCATTGACACATGGCACTGTGGATAGAGGCGTTAGTTGGGGACGGGACCCAAAGAGTGTGAGTTCAATACCTGGTTAAGGCGGTGGAGAACTTGAAGAGGGGGATTAACAGAAGATAACTGATGAGATATATTATGGACCATTGTCTTAAGTATTTTATTTTTTTTTTATAAATAAAGAAATTTTATATGAATCGTATTCATTTCTAAAATTTTTTAATCAGAATAATTTATATAAAGTTTTAAATCTTTTAAAATTCTGTATTAATTTGTAGTAGTTACCTGGCATAGTTATTAAGTAAAAACTATATTTACTAATCATAAATGGAACAGCTTACAAGAATTCAGCAACCCCCAGTAGTTTCAAAATATAGTTTTTTAAAAAACATATTTAAAATTTATTTTTGAGTGTGTATGAATAAACGTGCCGATTTTTGTAAATACGGGCATCCATACACGACGTTATGAGAAAATAGGAGCAGTAACTATATCAAATTTAAGATTTATTGGTAAGCGTCTTCGTCAGTAAGACTATAAAGCGAAAGTAATTAAAATTCAATAAAATATTGGATTATTTGAAATCGTTACCTTAATTTTTAAGATTACTGGGTATTTAGAATTTATATAGACTTGGCATTAACATTATATTCATCAAGTAATTGTTACAGTTATGATCCCCATAAAAGAAATTACCAAACTTAAGTTTATCAAACGTGTTGTCAATACCCAATAAAACACCAAACGCTTTCTTATCAAAAAGTTTTTTTCTGCAATATTTTTAAGTAAAAGTAATACTTGTTCCAACTTAATTTATTAAACTTTAAATTAATCTTCCAGAAATTTTTTTTAAATGAAGAGAATTCACGCTGTACTGGAAGCATTGGAAATATTGGTAAAATTTGCGATTTTAATAAAACAGTCTCATCCCATTTTTTGGGATTACAAAATACAAATTCATTTCAGTCAATTCATATTCGTTTTGAAATACTTCAAATTATTTTGCTTATTGAAAATATTAAATTTAATCAATTAGCTTGAAATTTAAAATAAAATAAAAGCTTCAAGAAAGATTCTTCATTTTTAAAAATGTATTAGGTATAGCTTTTCTTTAGACGTAACTCCCATATATATATATATATATATATATATATATATATATATATATATATATATATATTCAGTAGTATAGATTTTAGTTTATAATCCTGAGTTTCAGGCTTTTGCTATCATCAGGTATATATATATATATATATATATATATATATATATATATATATATATATATATATATATATGGGGTGCGTGTGTATGTATGTGTGTATAAATATCAATGTGAAAGTGAATATTGACGTCAATACCAAGAGGTGACAGTCTGTTGGCCTGACGATTGCGTTTAGGATGAAACAAGTTTACAAATAAAGAATAAGTTTACACAAAACAGAGAAAAATCCACATAAAATATGTCCGCAAATCGTTCGTTTTTAAGTTTAAAGTTTACAGTAGACGCTGTCAGATGTACCATCCAAGGCACAATCCAAAAATACTTTCATAAAATTTGGGAACAGGTTTCCTGACACTAAAACAAGATAAAATGTCCATATAAACATATGTCCAAAAGGCCATCGTCGAACCTCAACACAGCAAATCATAACAAATGTTCAAAATATCATCCGCTAGCTTCTACACCCGTATACACCCGTCGGACCATTGACTGGTGGACCCTTTCAAATACTCCTACACGATGTCGAATGGTTTTGCATTGATGAAGCGTCTTTGCATTATTAATGTCTGTTGCATAAACCAATTGTTTTAGGTACCCCCACAGATTTTATATTTGGGGCTATCAAAAACAGTCCATAGTAGTGATTCGGAGAAACTTGTAGGCCATGGAACTGGTCCTTTCCTATCTATCCATCCTTCATGATAGATGTCAGCCAGTGCATCGCGAACAATGTCACCAAATTTTTCTGTAGATCTATCATGCACGTACCACATGCGTCTTCATATTAGCAGGGGTACATCCTCTAGCACGCCTGGAAGTTTGCTCGAAATAAAGTTGCTATAGACAGCTCCCGTATGACGTGCTGGAAGAACATATGGACTTATGAGACAGTCACCTACAATTCCAGCCTACACATTAATCGTAAACTGATGCTGGTGTATAGTCTGTATTGTACCATGGTGATTCTCATCCGCCCCAAAATGTTGGTAGAGTAAATTTGTTATTCCATCTCTTCTAAATCTTGCCTCATCCGTAAACAACACTGATGAGACAAACAACGGATCGGAATGTTTGACAATAAACCATCGGCAAAAGCTTTCCCGTCGTGATTGATCAGCGGGCAAAAGACCCTGCACAAGTTGAGATGGACGACATGTTAAGGCTACTCGACAGTTTGTAGAATGTGTTCTACGTGGTCAGGTGTACGAGCGGATCTCGGTCTTCTTCGATCCATAATTTGTGGTGCCGCGAATCCTGTTTCAGCAGCAAAGGTTGGATGACTTGGTTGCCTTTAGTCTGGAAATGCAATTTGATACAGCCGTGCAGCCTCGCGTCCATTACCATTCGCGCGGCAGGATATAAAAATCATACCTGCTTGAACATGAATATCTTGCCATTGCCAAATGGAACACTTCTCAGTTAACTCACTACTACACGCGTTAAACATTGAGGACAGACTAGCCACAAATGTACACGAATGACAAATGTAACCTAGTCTATATGGCAACAAAGCGCCATCTACCATAAACTTCCTTTAAAATTAATAACTCAAAAACGAAGGATTTACGGACATATGAACTTTTGTCCTTGTCTTGGTATGTAAATTTTGTCAAATATTTTTGATACACCCTGACTATATATATATATTAATAATAAATTAACTGATTGAAAATACGTTTTTTTTCGCTACACAGTAATAACCATGTTTCAAAAATGGAAACTAAAAACTTTAAATTTAATTATATAATTAAATTAAAAGCATTAATTCCGTTTCATCTTCAAGCAAATATTGGGATAACTTACTTATAAATTTACGGAGTTTAAAACGCACAAATTCATAATTTACTGTTCCCAAAGATACAATCATTCAGACAGGGGCTGTAGTGTGTTAATTTTTAACTATTGTTGTATCAATTATGAGTTACGTTCGAAAAAGAGGTTAAGTTTAGGGAGAGTAGGGGCGTATTTTTCAACGAATTCTGACATCTGTTAAATGCATGTCGTCTGGGTTTTTTATTAACGGCAAAAAGTTTAACTAACATTTTAAAATATTTTTGCTCTTAATTATTAATAGACTATATTTCTTTTTAAAAACAAGTAAATGTAATAGAATTACTTGCATTATTTAAAATTATTATTTTTTAACTCAATTTCGGAATTTGTTTATATTATATATATATATATATATATATATATATATATATAGTATAAACTTATTTATTTCTTGTAGGAATTAACTTAGTTTAATATATATATATATTATATAAATATACATATATTATAAATTATATATACATTTTAATCAGTTAATTTATATTATTAACGCTCTGTAAATTTACATTGAGCACTATTTTATAAAACCGGATTACATATCTTACTGTTCTTTCTTTTCTATATATATATATATATATATATATATATATATATATATATATATATTGTTTATGAAAAACTAGGTAATCCGTATGGGTAAACCTAAGGAGGATAAAATCCAGAGAGCTCAATGTAAATTCAGAGCAAATAATTTAAATAAAAACAGACCACTTTAAGGTTCCATGTAATAAATTATTTCACCACAGCCCTTTTAAAAGGATTGCGGATCATCTGACTTTACTTCCAAACAAAAAATGAAAAGAAAGTTTACACATTTTTGGCGGGCCGTATTAAACATATGTAAATTAACGAAATGAGAGGGAAGACATGAGTGAGTTAGCAGATATTGACACATTTAAACGGTTAACTTAACGGAAGTTATATATTGATATATTGAGGGGTAGAGAAAAAAAATCCCACAGAGAGAAAAAGAGGGAAGGAAGTTAAGAGAGATGTCTAATTTTCTTTGTAAAAAAAAAAAAGGCTAGAAACAGATGCTGTTATTCTGTTTTACTTTGAATGTGTTATTTTGGGGGTTCATAAAGATTATAATGTTTGATATAAATTTGAATGTCTCCAGACTGTTTACAAATAATTTAATTTGTTGTTTGTTAGTGATTTAAATTTTTTTACATTTTGGGGATTTTCTATGAAATAGTCGATTAGAAAAAAATCATAGAAAGTACATTAAAAGAATAAAATTTTATTTTAAAATATAAGTTTACTTCTAGTAATCTTTTTTTAAAATCTCTTTAAAATTTTTTATTATTAATTATTAAGTTGACATCTCTATCCGTTTGAATTTTGTTCATGAATTTAACTCGTGACTGTTTCTAGATAGCTAATCTCTTTTACTTAAATTTTAGTTAAGTTAATATGGGGTAATATTTGAATATTAAAGATCTTTCTCTGTCATATACTGTATACACACCCATACATATATATATATATATATATATATATATATATATATATATATATATATATATATATATATATATGTGTGTGTGTGTGTGTGTGTGTATATAAAAATAGTGACTTACGCATGGAAATCTGCTGGTTCTTTACTGTCTTCAATCTTTTTTAAGTGCATTTCTAAAATTTTTAGAGTATCTTCAATCATTGGCACGATCTGAAATTAAAAAAAATATATAAAATCGTCAAGATAAAATTAAGAATCTTTAAAAAAGTGATCAGAAAAAAAAATTCTTTTCTTTTTTTTTTGTTTTTTTTCCTCTGGTTATGTCGTTCTTTACATTAGGATTCTCAAATCGGATAATGTGTTTATAAAATTATGAACGAATTCAGCAAAAGAATTCATATATTAAACTAATTCCTACAATAAATAAATAAGTTTATGTTTAAAATGAACGTTTTTATTAGATACACACCTCACGTAATTTTTTCGCACTGTAAGATGGGGACAAAACAGTACGAAGGTATTTCCAGTGGTCATCTCTGGCAAAAGATACCGTATTGTTAGTGTACTCATCCAGTGGATAGGGTAGCTGCAGATTTAATAAAACATATGTGTGGATTAATCGGTCACGCTTAAGTGTCATTAACAATATCATGTCAAGAAGAAGAATAGTCAAATTACTCAATAAACAATAAGACAAAGAAGAAAAAAGAACAGGGCAAAATAATACTAAGCAATCTATCTATCTATCTATCTATCTATCTATCTATCTATCTATCGCTTTCCATTTTGGTACATCGAATTTATGAATTTAAGCGTAGTACGGGATTGGCGGAAATGTTTCACAATTTTCACAGTTGAAACTGTTTGATGTTACCATAATTTCTATTGTAACAGCTTCGCATTTATTGCTTGTGGGACTCTCTTCCGGGTTCTTGTTTCATAGGACAAGGCTGCTTCTTATGTTGACTGACAGGAGGTCTGTCAAAGAAGAACCTTTTGTGAATCCACCGGAAAAGAAAACTTCCTGAATGTAGGCGAATTACAGCCAGTGGAATCGGTGCCTTCAAAAGAGGCAAAACCAATAAAGGAGCTGGTGTTCCTAAAGGATTTATCAAAAATGACCTTGTCTTCTCCCAAAGAGACTTAAACGGATTTCCTTTTGCTCCTTAAGGAGGCTATCAAAACGACGCAGTCACTTCCCAAGGAGTTGGCGTCCACTTCAGAGCTGACACCTCGGAAGTAGGCAAACAAAACTGACCACTCGCCTCTCAAAGCGGCAGATTAAAAGACCAAAATATGACCAAAAATTCAGTGGCTGAGGAATTACACTCTAGCTGGAAATCCCCGCCGGCATGTATAGTGAATTTGACGGAATTCTTGGAGAGGACCGACGGGTATGCGCGTTTTATTAAAGATGATGACCTGATGATTGGAAGTTGAGAAACTTACACTTGTCTGTCTTTGTGGTCGACAAGTGCACGGGCAAGACGTCGTTCCACGAAAGACACCGTAATCAAGGTTCTCTTGTCCCTAGGTCTGTTGCTGTAGCCAATTATTAAGGGCGTCGGAATCTTAACGTAGGACGTATTGCTGCGAACGCACGAAGACTATATGTTCTTAGTGACCGTGGGTTAATAAAAAAAGATCTGATTCTACGGACAGGGTACAGAGGCACGGGGAAGACTGCGTAGTTGTTTATGAAGTACCTCCGCATGTAAAGGGAGAGTCGCTGGTTATTTATTTTAAATATTAGAGTCACATCATCAGCGTCACCTTTAGGTACGTAGCCATAGCTAGGGCTGAGATGATCATTCTGAGGCGTCGAACATGACCGTTGAGCTGCATGGATCATCGTATCACAAGCGTTGTATTGCCGGAGGGACGACGAGTGATTACAAATGAAGACATCTGTGAAGCATTTCGGTCTTATTTTCAGGAGCTATTCACCAGGGAACCCAAACTGGGTTCTGCTCAGTTCGATACCCATTTCACCGACTTTCCTCGTTTTGAGACAACTAAAAAAGCTTGGGGCGAAGGGACCCTAATTAAGGCGGAGATATGGAAAGCGCTGAAACAGATTGGCCGAGATAAGATACATGGTCTTCCCTACGAGGTTCACTTGAGACAGTCGCCTCTATTTGTTCCTTTGTTGCTCAACCATTGATTGAAGAAAGAGAATATATCCGAACGCTTTACCAGGATTACGGCCATATGACATTGAAAGACCGGTTCCAATATAGTCACTGACATTAAGCAACGTCGATCGGAGTCAGTACCTAGATGGGTGACCGGCAATACCAGGTGCTGTCAGTTTGGATGTGAAGTAAGGGTTAATGGCTTGGAATTGTTAATCGGTGAGCAGGTTTCCAATTCGTGTTGGGTTCGTTACATTCACTTACACACAAATATCCTTAGGAAAGGTAAGAATCTACCTTTTCAGCTCATAGCTCTGGGTTAATTAGTAATAAAGGGTGTTTTATTAAGACGGATTATATATAAGGGTGTTTCATTAAGACGGATCAAAGTCAGCAGTAAATAAATCAGTGTGATTGGTGAAAATTTATTTATTTGTCTATTAGATCATGTTATTTAAGTCATGGCAATTATGTGTGAAAAATAATATCACCCAAATGTCCGCCAAATCTGAAAGGAAAAGAAAGAAATCATTAGACGCTTAAACTTAATTCACATTTAAAATCGGTCCAAGTTATTGGAACAGCATTTACTTGTATCACTAAATCGTCATTATCTAAAAAAAATCTTACAATCTAAAAATATTTTCTGGCTTTAAATAACCTGAAAAGTGCTGATAAGCCGTAAAAATTGTTATGGTCCGGTTCCTTGTACCACAGTGATAGTCCAAGGTAGAACCAATAAAAAAGAACTCGAACACAGGTATGGAATAACACAGATATATTACAAACAGGAATATATACAGAGAAGTAGAAGTGTTAGTATGAACAATCAGGTTTAGTAGAGAGAACAATGTAGTCTCGGCCAGTATCACTATTCCAATGTCTTGCAGTAATTGTCTGAACTGCTTCTGACTCAACTCTTGATTCGACTTGAACTACTGACTCCTTGCCTACTGCTGAGGAGCAGTATTTATTAAGTATGGAATAGTCCATTATTATTATTATGGGTAAGATCCCATAACAAAAATGAATCAAACAAACCAACACTTCACTACACGGGTCATCAAAAGGTGCGGATGGGATAGGTAATTTTCACCCTTTAACTATATTTAATGCAGTTTTAAATATTTTGGTCAAAAGTCATAGCTAACCGTTTCCAGCTTGTCCTTCCTAGTATAAATGGCTCTGAGCAGACTTGTTTAGTGAGGGACAGAATCATTCAGGACAACTTTCATTTGGTTCGCTTGATCATCGTAAAAGTCGACAAAGAAGCTGTGATAGCCATGTATTCCGACTACGCTGACGAAGTATTTGTATTCGCAAAGAACACATCTGAAATTAAGATGAAGTGAACAAAGAAATATGCAAATATCAAACGGTGGCAAAAATCTACCGCGATAAGTTTTTTGGCTTGTGGTTGGATGAGTGGAAGGAAGTATCTTTTCCTGGGCCCTTCAGTTGGACGGAAGGACAGGTCAGTTCAATACTTGGTGTCTGGTTTGGTTCCGGCGTACAGCTAGAGATGAAGTGGTCTGCGGTTCGGAAAAAATGTTAAGGAAGCAGCTCGTCTGTGGAATATGAGGAATCTTTCCTTAAAGAGAAAGACAGCTACCCGATTCTTCTTTTCCAGCTCTCCGTTCTTCCACTGAGGTTTATTGAACTAATGGTTTTAGTTCGAGACTATTTCGACTTCCTTTGAGAAATCAAGTCTCCTATAATACGTCGATAGGTTTGCTGCCACCATCCTGTCGAAGACGGTTTGGGAATGTCGAGTGTTGAGATTCGTCAACATACACTCCGCTTGAACCTCCTAGAATGAATGTGTTCGCAAAAGGAGGGTAATGGTGAAATCTGGAAGGAAGACTCCTCCGACCTTTTCCGTCTCTTGAAATTGTGCATACAGACGATGTGGTGGTGTTGGTGGTGGTGGGAGGGCACCGAGTGATCTAATCTAAATTTTCCTTTTATGGGGCGTGTTGAAACGCGTTGCGCTACCTCTTACAGGAGAAGAATCACATCGCCAACAACCAGGCGTTGTCTCTGGAGGCGTTATGTTTGGTGAGGGGACTGCTAAAGATGATCTGATCGACGGGTTCAGGATTTGGGAGCCCGAGTTGAAATGCCTTAATAACGACGAAACATCCCTCATCTGGCTGGTGTTGCGAGAGACCATCTGAGTCATCAAGAAGCTTTTCTCAGCAAGGCAGGCGTCTTATCCCGAGTGCGTGCGCTGTATTGAGTTAGAGGTGTCTATTGATTATGCCATCTTTTACTGCAGTGTCTTGCATCCGCTGCGTGATCTGATTGAAGGCTACATTGTCCGCAACTTGGACGGAAGGTTTTTTTTACCTTAGAAGCTAGATCCGTCTGAGGCAGGTGGGGTAACTTTACCAATAAAGGATCAACACTGCACCTGTGTTCTTGTGTTTGCCCGGCATTATGCCAGTCGTGGTGTGGACGACGACAGAGGAGTTTCATGGGGGTGGGAAATTCTCCTCTTCTCAACTGTTAAGATCAGAGCGGAAAGGGTGCGACTCACCTCATCAACATTCGATGAAAGGTGGATGGGATTTCGCGCTTGGTGCCGAGAAAGGTTGTTGTATGCTACTTAGGAAAGGGGATTTTGATTCTCTAGCCTACTGAACGTGGTATCTGTGTTCTCTTATATGAGAGTGAATGCAGGACAAAGATGTAGAAGAGACTTGAAGCAACAGAAATGTGGTTCTACAGAAGGATGCTGAAGATACCGTGGCCCGAACATGTGAACAACAGCGAGGTTTTAGAGAAAATGGAAACAAAGCGGAAACATACGTAACATCTGTAGGAAGCAGATGAAATTTCTGGTGCGCATTAATGAGGAAGGAGGGCTTGGAAAATCTTATACTCACAGGAGTGATGGGCTTGAGCATACTTGATTGGCTTGAGCAAACGGATGGTAGAACTGGGTTTGGGAGAAATAAAAAGACAAAACCTATTAAGGGCTACAAAGGAAGATGTTGAGGGCCATGATCACTTACGGCCTGAAGGGACACGGCACATAAAAATAGAAGAAACATAGTGCGTCAGTCATCCCAGCCTATGCTAGGGTAAATTTTTGTTTGGTCATTTTCGGGTCGTTTTTTCGGTTTAACTTGGCCAGCGTATACATAAGCTTAGGGCTCCTTCGTTTTTGTCCGCTTCATTTTGGCTTTTATGCCCCATTGCTGCCCTTAGTAGCTGACAGATTTCTCAACTGTCTGTCGGGTGTAAGACATTTTTATACTTTCATAATGCTTTGACCGCAATTTGGGGGTTAACTATTTTCCCATAGCTGGGACCCTAACAGGTGCTACTACCCTAAGTCAATTAAGAGGTGGTTCCATGCTCCTCAAAACCTCCCGATCAGAGGCCTTACTGCCGGGTGTAGTTTATCGTCATACCCAGGACGGTGTAAATGAGGCATTTTGGTGACTGTGGTGCATCTAAGTAAAAGTAAGATTGATGTTAGGGTGACAGGAAAATATTTGTGCGAATGGATCAATGAGTGAGACTAGGTTAAAGATAGAATTGGTGAAGACCGGCCTCTCCCGTTTAGGCCTTGTATCACATTTTGTATAATTAAACATACAATTAAATATTAATTCCGATAGAATGTAACGAACAACCTCCTCTTCATCTATAAGTAATTTATATATATGTAAATTCATTTGTATTGATATAAATTCATTTAGGCGAACCAATTCTCTTGTTTTATTGATTGATTGTGGATTCATTATTTTTTACGGCTTATCAACCCTTTGCAGGTTATTTGAAGCCAGAAAATATTCTTAGATTGTAAGAATTTTTTGTTGACTTAGTGCTACAAGGTTTACTAATTAACCTACAGCTGGGGGGAGAAGAAGTAAATTAATAACTAATCAGAAATTGATAAACAAACAAGAAAGTATAATGTGGATATAAAGTGGGGGATCAGTCCTTTATTACAATCACTATATACACTGACCCCTCTCTTTGTGGCCACGGTAATCTTTATCCATTTATATTCCAGAGAATGTAAGTAACTCTAAAAGACATGTTTGTGTAGCTAATCAGTAATTCATTGATTGATTTATTCGTTTTCTACGGTTTATCAACCCTTTGCAGGTTATTTAAAGCCAGAAAATATTCTTAGAATGTAAGATTTTTATGGAGAGATAAAAAAGGTTCAGTGATACAAGTATGCGTGTGAATAAAAAGGAAGCCAACGGGAATTGGAACTTGGCTCTTCGATTAGCAATTCCGAACCATTATTCATTACACCACCCACACATCCAAGATTACAGCACATGGAATTCCCAGCTTAATTTCGGTGACCGTGCGGGCATCGGTGTTTCAACGTGAAGCCCCAATTCACTTGGAAGCACACTGAGAAAATAAAAATATAGAAGGAATTTTTGAAAGGAATTTTGGTGATTAATACTTTTTGTGGAAGATTTGCTCGGGTGTTAAAGCAGCCAAAAAATGCCACTTCAGTGTGTTGTAATATTATTGTCGCAGTCATAGAAAGAAATAAGTTAAATAAATGATAAGTCATGACTATGATAAGATAGACAATTTTTTTTAGAATTGAACGGTAAGGATTTGAATTAATTTTTATGAGAAAGGTGGCGTCTGTTCTTTGGAAGTTGTTGACGCTTGTTAGGAGAGCTAATCATGGGATCAAATTTATGAACTCTCCCTCTGCAAATATATAAAAAGAATTAAAATGTTTTTATATTTAAAGGGTAAAATTAGTGAATCACATTTGTTTGCAAACAATGTTTACTAAGCATTGGTGAATATAGAAAAAACTTACCCTTCTGTTTATAAAATTGGAGAAATGTTTGATCAAAATTTTCTCTATAATTTCAGGGTCACCAACAACTAAATGAGGATCCGATCCCAAAAAGATCCTACAAAAAATATATTTGATTATAATATATATATATATATATATATATATATATATGAGAGAGAAACAACTGATGGAGTAAAAATCGACAATTTATAGCGTTTAGGTCTGAAAAAGTGCTCAATACTAATTTGTGCAAAATATTATTATAATATCTTTATTATAATAGATTACAATAAATTCATTTTACATCGCTACATAAAAACTTTCATGTTTCAGTACTAAGATTGTAGTTCCTCAGGCGATTGTGTAGAATTTTTCTATTGTAATTTATTATAATATATATATATATTGTATAACCAACAGAAACCCTATCCGGTAACCGAAAGAAAACTCAAATAGAAAAAAAAACAAAACTTGATTAACAAAAATAAAATAAAAACCTATAAAAAAGGGGGAAAATAAACAAACTAATAAAAAAAAAGACCAAAATGCAAAGCCCCACCTCTACCTAAACAGTAACCAACTTATATGCTTAGGTTTTAAGACAGCCCAAAAATGCATTTAGTTCTGACTACTAGTTAATTTTCACGCTTCCACGATCGTCATCCGACTATATATACAGTGTGTATCAAAATGATATGACATATTTATCGGTTTAACTTGGCATCTACGCTTATAGTACAATTATTTACTCCTGCCTTGATAATAAGGCTGATCAGTTCGACAAGGTTAAAATGACAGCCGATGTCCAAAACGACATCATATCCGTCGTTAACTGGCACAAAAGATGCCTTTTGTTTTAGTGGCTTTACTAAATTACCTGGGTGATACCAACTGAAAAAATACCTGCTCGCTAGATATCCAATACCACTTCGAAACATTTCATAGATGGTGTAGATGCCTGCTCGGTAGATATTCTTTTCTACTTCAGTTTGAAATCAACGTAATTAAGAACATCATTTCCTTCTCAAGGCATATTCTCTTATCTCAAATTAGAATTAAGCAATCATTGATATTTCTGCTTCTTTATATTAGCATTGGAAGTGAATTCATCGTTTTACAAACAACAAAACGGCTTTTTTTCTTTTTTAGGAAATCAATAACAAAATGAAACTTATTTTTGCAGCTCGCAATAACTTGCAGATCATATTAATGTTATCACACAACTCCTTGAAATTGTTAATACAGGAAAAATGTCTTACCCATAATTGTCACCATATTCTTTCTGCCATTTTAAAAACACGTAAGCATACTCCTAGAATAAAAATGACAATTTAAATTCTTTCAAGATACAAATTCTCCAAGAAGTAGATCTTGGGATCTCTATACAATCAAAATAAAAAAAATAAAAACATGTTTCAGTTTATAATAAATAGAAATTAACTGTCTAAAAAATCTCGTATTGTTATTGTTAGAAACTGAAAAGTAATATTTATTTCTCATAATTTTCATGTCGTTTAAATATAATTTTGCCATAATATATCTACAGCTTCTGTCTATATTCCTGAAATGTATTTTAACTATTTACATTATTTACATCGTTAGGACTGTTGCGCTCATCGTTATTGCCATATTCACAACGTTTATGCCGTTGTATGCTCCGGCCTTCTTCAGGTGATATACGTTGAAATTTCGAACCAAACCCTTTATTTAGTCCACGGGAGTTGCAGGAGAGGAAATAGAACAATCAGACATGGCTGACCATGTATGCAGGAAAAAGGGAGATCACCCCCCTCTGTGGGATGAGGTTGAAATAATAGAGACAGAACATATTAGGAAATACGAAAATATAAGGAATCAGCGCATATGCTAGGTCACAAAAATCTCCTAAGCCGACCAAGCATAGAAATGAATACAATATGAGAACCAGTAATGCATAGAACTTGAGAAAAACAACAATAACAAAAATAATGTAATATAAGCTAATGAAAGATTAGGTTTATATATCCTCAAAATTCACTCACTAATGTCCCCAGTGGATAAAAGCATTGGTTGATTGATCCAAAAAATGACTTGGCCCTAAGAGTTGTGAGTTCAATACCTGGCCGCAGCAGACAGAACAAAAAATCGAAGATTTGAGTTACTAAAGGGAAATAACTGAAACTGAAATATCCAAAGGCATGGCACGTGGAATTAGAACAATCTAACCCTGTGGACTAAATAAAGTGTTGGGTTCAAAATTCTAACAATTATCACTCGATGAACTTGAATATTGCAATAAAGATGAGGCTTTAGTGTGTTAGCTACTTCTATAAGGTTTCTGATAAGAATATGTTATCACTACATGAAATAATGATAATGAAAAAGTACATGCACAAAATGACAGAAACCGATTGATTTGCAATGCAAGAAAACATTTAAAAAAATAAGAAAAGGAAAGTTTATTTTCCTATAAGTACATTGCATACACAACGAAATTAATGAATATATTTGAGTGGGAGTTACTGTGTTGGTGTGTTTTAGCATTGAGGCGGTCACAGCTCTTTTAGCTTCAGTTTGAAAAGGCTTTGCTTGTTTTTATACCCCAGAGCTGCTACCGTTAGTAGGCTGCTACATAGAACTTGAGAAAAAAAATCAACAAAAACATGTAATATAAGCTAATGAGACATTAGGTTTATATGTCCTCAGAATTCACTCATTAATGTCCTCAGTGGATAAAAGCGTTAGGTGATTGATTCAAAAAGTAACTTGGCCCTAAGAGTTGTGAGTTCAATAACTTGTCACGTTTATTAAGGCACTACAATAAAACAGCCTGAACGATGTAAATAGTGTAAACATCTATAAATGTGTATTCATTACTGTCACCGTTTGATTTGAACAATGAAGAGATTAAAATTAATGCAAACGTACTCTAGATGAAATACACAGCAGAGAAATTTGGCACTGATACAATTTCTTGAATGAATAACTGAAAATTTATATTTGATTGAAATCGAAAATTGCAAGTAACTTCTTCATCTTTTTAGATATACCAGTTATACAATTAGGTTGTCCACCGGAATCAAACTTTTCAATCAATAAATACAGCCAGACGAAAGACTGATGCAAGATAATTGCTTCTCTTCTTAAAGGATTCAAAAATTGCAGTGAAAATGATTTTAAATCTGAAATACTCACCAAATCCTTTATTTCTTTAAGATTTCCAAGAAAAGCTATTGGTTTCGGACCTTTAATTCCATACGCTGTAAAATAGCCAAAATTTCTTCTTCCATAGCTGTAAAAGGAAAAGATTGTTTCATTAAAATATGAATGTCCCGAGAAAAGAGAATTGTCAGCTTACAGATCGAAGCTAAGTAAATCATGCCTCAAAGACAAATCTAGTGTCACTGAAAAAATAACCTGGCCGTGCGTCTCGAAAAGGACCTCCAATCGGTTGTGAACTGGGGCAGGAATTGGCTGGTCAACTTTAATCCTTAAAAAACAAAACTGCTCTCTATTAATCACCACAGAGATCCTTCCCTGCCCTCCATTAGAATGTCTGACGCTCAACTTATCGAGAGCAACTCTCTGTGGCTGCTCGGTCTCACGTTGACGTCTGACCTGAGATGGAACAAATACATTGAGTCAATTGCTTCGTCCACCGCAAGGAAAGTTGGCTCCCTGTGCCGCGCCAGGAAATTTTTCTCCCCGGAATCGATCCTCCAGATCTACAAATCAACAATTCGCCCTTGCATGGAGTATTGCTGCCATCTATGGTCTGGAGCCCCTTCTGTTTGCCTCGGGGTTCTTGATAGGCTCCAGAGGCGGATATGCAACACAAATATTACATAGCAATTATTTGCAAATTTTTGACCCAGGAGCTGAGGCAGAAAGGTTGTTAAGATTGTTCTGGAACGCAGGGGCCAATGAGTTCATTCTCCCAAAATGCCATTAAACTTTTTTTTTTTTTTTTTAATTTTGTCTTTATAAACAAGGAACTCTTGCTACGAGCATCAATGGATGAATTTTCAAAACCGCACTGAAAAATTACAAGTAAATTTTTAAAAAGTTAATGTTCAGTGTAAATCTACACAAGCTCTGGTCATTTATTGTTTTTGAAGTCAGAGGCGAGATCAATTGCCATGCTCTTGTGATTTAGGGTTTTAGATGTCAAACGCTAGATCGGCTGCTAAGATCTGGTCATTTAGAGTTTTGGTGATCAGAGGCGAAATTAGCTGCTAAGCTCTAGTCATTTTAGGTTTGAGGTCACAGGCAAGATCAGCTGCCAAGCTCTGGTCATTTAGAGTTTTGAAGGTCAAAGGCGAGATCAGCTGCCAAGCTCTGGTCATTTAGAGTTTTGAAGGTCAAAAAAATCAGCTGCCAAGCTCTGGTCATTAGAGGTCAAAGGCGAGATCAGCTGCAAGCTCTGGTCATTTAGAGTCTTGAAGGTCAAAGGGCGAGATCAGCTGCCAAGCTCTGGTCATTTAGAGTCTTGAAGGTCAAAGGCGAGATCAGCTGCCAAGCTCTGGTCATTTAGAGTTTTGAAGGTCACAGGCGAAATCAGCTGCCAAGCTCTGGTCATTTAGAGTTTTGAAGGTCAAAAGAGATCAGCTGCCAAGCTCTGGTCATTTAGGAGTCTTGAAGGTCAAAGGCGAGATCAGCTGCAAGCTCTGGTCATTTAGAGTCTTGAAGGTCAAAGCGAGATCGAGATCTGGTCATTTAGAGTTTTGAAGGTCAAAGGCGAAATCAGCTGCCAAGCTCTGGTCATTTAGAGTTTTTTGCCAAGCTCTTCATTTAGGTCTTGAAGGCAAAGTCGAGATCAGCTGCCAAGCTCTGGTCATTTAGAGTTTTGAAGGTCAAAGGCGAAATCAGCCAAGCTCTGGTCATTTAGAGTTTTGAAGGTCAAAGGCGAGATCAGCTGCCAAGCTCTGGTCATTTAGAGTCTTGAAGGTCAAAGGCGAGATGCCAAGCTCTGGTCATTTAGAGTCTTGAAGGTCAAAGGCGAGATCAGCTGCCAAGCTCTGGTCATTTAGAGTTTTGAAGGTCAAGGCGAGATCAGCTGGCTCTGGTCATTTAGAGTTTTGAAGGTCAAAAGGCGAGATCAGCTGCCAAGCTCTGGTCATTTAGTCTTGAAGTCTTGAAGGTCAAAAGGCGAGATCAGCTGCCAAGCTCTGGTCATTTAGAGTTTTGAAGGTCACAGGCGAAATCAGCTGCCAAGCTCTGGTCATTTAGAGTTTTGAAGGTCAAAGGCGAGATCAGCTGCCAAGCTCTGGTCAGTCTTGAAGGTCAAAGGCGAGATCAGCTCTGGTCAGTTTGAAGGTTTAGGAAATCTTGCTCTGGTCATTTAAGTTTTGAAGGTCAAGGCAGAGATCAGCTGCCAAGCTCTGGTCATTTAGAGTTTGAAGGTCAAAAGGTCAAGCTCTGGTCATTTAGAGTCTTGAAGGTCAAAATCAGCTGCCAAGCTCTGGTCATTTAGTTTTGAAGGTCACAGGCGAAATCAGTTTTGAAGGTTTGAAGGTCATTTAGAGTCTTGAAGGTCAAAGGCGAGATCAGCTGCCAAGCTCTGGTCATTTAGTTTTGAAGGTCACAGGCGAAATTTGAAGGTCATTTAAGTTTTGAAGGTCAAAGGCGAGATCAGCTGCCAAGCTCTGGTCATTTAAGTCTTGAGTTTTGCCAAGCTCTGGTCATTTAGAGTTTTGAAGGTCAAGGCGAGATCAGCTGCCAAGCTCTGGTCATTTAGAGTTTTGAAAGGATCTGCAAGCTCTGGTCATTTAAGTTTTGAAGGTCAAGGCGAGATCAGCTGCCAAGCTCTGGTCATTTAGAGTTTGAAGGTCACAGGCGAGATCAGCTGCCAAGCTCTGGTCATTTAGAGTTTTGAAGGTCAAGGCGAAATCAGCTGCAAGCTCTGGTCATTTAGAGTTTTGAAGGTCAAGGCGAGATCAGCTGCCAAGCTCTGGTCATTTAGAGTCTTGAAGGTCAAAGGCGAGATCAGCTGCCAAGCTCTGGTCATTTAGAGTTTTGAAGGTCAGATCAGCTGCCAAGCTCTGGTCATTTAGAGTTTTGAAGGTCAAAGGCGAGATCAGCTGCCAAGCTCTGGTCATTTAGAGTTTTGAAGGTTTTCTGGTCATTTAGAGTTTGAAGGTCAAAGGCGAGATCAGCTGCCAAGCTCTGGTCATTTAGAGTTTTGAAGGTCAAAGGCGAGATCAGCTGCCAAGCTCTGGTCATTTAGAGTTTGAAGGTCAGGGCGAGATCAGCTGCCAAGCTCTGGTCATCAAGGGCGAGATCAGTTTGGTCATTTAAGGTGAAGGCAGGCGGGCTGAAATCTGGTCATTTAGAGTTTTGAAGGTCAAAGGCGAGATCAGCTGCCAAGCTCTGGTCATTTAGAGTTTTGAGATCAGCTGGTTTTGAAAAAGGCGAGATCAGCTGCCAAGCTCTGGTCATTTAGAGTTTTGAAGGTCAAAGGCGAGATCAGCTGCCAAGCTCTGGTCATTTAGAGTTTTGAAGGTCAAAGGCGAGATCAGCTGCCAAGCTCTGGTCATTTAGAGTTTTGAAGGTCAAAGGCGAGATCAGCTGCCAAACTCTGGTCATTTAGAGTTTTGAAGGTCTGCCAGATCAGCTGCCAAGCTCTGGTCATTTAGAGTTTTGAAGGAAGCGAGATCAGCTCAAGCTCTGGTCATTAGAGTTTTGAAGGTCAAAGGCGAGGTCAAGCTCTGGTCATTTAGAGTTTTGAAGGTCAAAGGCGAGATCAGCTGCCAAGCTCTGGTCATTTAGAGTTTTGAAGGTCAAAGGCGAGATCAGCTGCCAAGCTCTGGTCATTTAGAGTTTTGAAGGTCACAGGCGAGATCAGGCGAGATTGCCCAAGCTCTGGTCATTTAGAGTCTTGAAGGTCAAAGTCGAGATCAGCTGCCAAGCTCTGGTCATTTAGTTTGAAGGTCAAGGCGAGATCAGCTGCCAAGCTCTGGTCATTTAGAGTCTTGAAGGTCAAAGGCGAAATCAGCTGCCAAGCTCTGGTCATTTAGAGTCTTGAAGGTCAGCTCTGGTCATTTAGGCTTGAAGGAGATCAGCTGCCAAGCTCTGGTCATTTAGAGTTTTGAAGGTCACAGGCGAGATCAGCTGCCAAGCTCTGGTCATTTAGAGTTTTGAAGGTCATTTAGAAAGGCGAGATCATCAGCTCTGGTCATTTAAGTCTTGAAGGTCAAAGGCGAGATCAGCTGCCAAGCTCTGGTGAGTCTTGAAGGTCAAAGGCGAGATCAGCTGCCAAGCTCTGGTCATTTAGAGTTTTGAAGGAATCAGCTGCCAACAGGTCATTTAGAGTTTTGAAATCAGCTGCCAAGCTCTGGTCATTTAGAGTTTTGAAGGTCAAAGGCGAGATCAGCTGCCAAGCTCTGGTCATTTAGAGCGAGATCAGCTGCCAAGCTCTGGTCATTTAGAGTTTTGAAGGTCAAAGGCGAGATCAGCTGCCAAGCTCTGGTCATTTAGAGTTTTGAAGGTCAAAGGGCGAGATCAGCTGCCAAGCTCTGGTCATTTAGAGTTTTGAAGGTCAAAGGCGAGATCAGCTGCCAAGCTCTGGTCATTTAGAGTCTTGAAGGTCAAAGGCGAGATCAGCTGCCAAGCTCTGGTCATTTAGAGTTTGAAGGTTTTGCCAAGCTCTGGTCATTTAGAGTTTTGAAGGTCAAAAGGCGAGAAATCAAGCTCTGGTCATTTAAGTCTTGAAGGTCAAAGGCGAGATCAGCTGCCAAGCTCTGGTCATTTAGATCAGCTGCCAAGCTCTGGTCATTTGAAGCTCTGGTCATTTAGAGTTTTCAAAGGTCAAAGGCGAGATCAGCTGCCAAGCTCTGGTCATTTAGAGTTTTGAAGGTCAAAGGCGAGATCAGCTGCCAAGCTGGTCATTTAGAGTTTTGAAGGTCACAGGCGAGATCAGCTGCCAAGCTCTGGTCATTTAGAGTTTTGAAGGTCAAAGGCGAGATCAGCTGCCAAGCTCTGGTCATTTAGAGTTTTGAAGGTCAAAGGCGAGATTGCCAAGCTCTGGTCATTTAGAGTCTTGAAGGTCAAGGGGCGAGATCAGCTGCCAAGCTCTGGTCATTTAGAGTTTTGAAGGTCACAGGCGAGATCAGCTGCCAAGCTCTGGTCATTTAGAGTTTTGAAGGTCCAGCTCTGGTCGAGATCAGATCAGCCAAGCTCTGGTCAGTCTTGAAGGTCAAAAGGCGAGATCAGCTGCCAAGCTCTGGTCATTTAAGTTTTCTGGATCAGCTCTGGTCATTTAGAGTTTTGAAGGTCAAAGGTCTCTGGTCATTT